CCATAATCAAAAATCTAAACACATGTTTAGATTCAGCATATCAAAGAACCCCAAAAATTCAATTTTTGTTAAAATCAAACTAAGTTTAATTTTGGACCCTTTGGACCTTAATGTAGACCAATTTAAAAAACGGGACCCAAAATTAAAAATCTAAATACACGGTTAGATTTGGCATATCAAAGAACCCCAATAATTAAATTTTTGATGAAATCAAACAAAGTTTAATTTTGGACCCTTTTGACCTCAATATGAACCAATTTGATAGCGGGCCCACAAATAAAAAATCTAAATACATGGTAAGATTCAGCATATCAAAGAACCCCATATATTCAATTTTTGTTGAAATCAAACAAAGTTTAATTTTGGACCCCAACTTGGACCAACTTGAAAACTGGGCCCATAATCAAAAATCTAAACACATGTTTAGAATCAGCATATCAAAGAACCCCATGTATTCAATTTTTGTTAAAATCAAACTAAGTTTAATTTTGGACCCTTTGGACCTTAATGTAGACCAATTTAAAAACGGGACCCAAAATTAAAAATCTAAATACACGGTTAGATTTGGCATATCAAAGAACCCCAATAATTCAATTTTTGATGAAATCAAACAAAGTTTAATTTTGGACCCTTTTGACCTCAATATGAACCAATTTGATAGCGGGTCCACAAATTAAAAATCTAAATACATGGTTAGATTCAGCATATCAAAGAACCCCAAGAATTCAATTTTTGATGAAATCAAACAAAGTTTAATTTTGGACCCTTTTGACCTCAATGTGGACAAAGTTGATAACGGGGCCCAAAAATCAAAAATCTAAATACATGGTTAGATTAGGCATATCAAAGAACCCCATATATTCAATTTTTGTTGAAATCAAACAAAGTTTAATTTTGGACCCCGATTTGGACCAACTTGAAAACTGGGCCCATAATCAAAAATCTAAATACATGTTTAGATTCAGCATATCAAAGAACCCTAAAAATTCAATTTTTGTTAAAATCAAACTAAGTTTAATTTTGGACCCTTTTAACCTTAATGTAGACCAATTTGAAAACGGAACCAAAAATTAAGAATCTAAATACACGGTTAGATTCGGCATATCAAAGAACCCCAATAATTCAATTTTTGATGAAATCAAACAAAGTTAAATTTTGGACCCTTTGGACCTCAATGTGGACCAATTTAAAAACGGGGCCCGAAATCCAAAAACTTAATACACGGTTAGATTCAGCATATTAAAGAACCCCAAGAATTCAAGAATAAAACCCCATTGAAATTGATCAAGAAATAAGCAATTTATACGAAGTATCTTCTTTTGCACAATACTGTGCAATTGAATATTTCTTGCTATTGTGCAATACTGTACAATTGACAATTTCTTGCTATTGCGCAATATTGTGCTATTGGATATTTCTTGCTATTGCGCAATACTGTGCAATTGAAGATTTCTTGCTATTGCGCAATACTGTGCAATTGAAGATTTCTTGCAATTGTGCAATACTGTGCAATTGAAAATTTCTTGCTATTGCACAATACTTATTATATAATAATTTACACGTCCTGTTTGGTGTGTATCTCCTACCATATCATTATTATTTGCTTTTAAATATTAATCAGAAATAACCAACTTAAAATGGAAAATTTTAAAAGAAAAAAAAAAGGAAGAAAAGAAAAAAAAAAAATCCCCCCCCCCAAATTTTTTGAACCCCCTTATGATTCATCACCCCCAAACTCAATCCCAGCCTTCCCTTTGTGGTATGGTACCTTGCAGTACAATTTCAGAGAGATCCATACACTTGAACACAAGTTATTGTCTGGAAACTAGAAAAATGCTTATTTTTGGCCCCTTTTTGGCCCCCTATTCCTAAACGTTTCGGGCAATTACCCACAAACTCAATTCCAGCTTTCCCTTTGTGATATGGAACCTTGTAGTACAATTTCAGAAATATCCAAACACTTACACACAAGTTATTGTCATGAAACTAGAAAAATGCTTGTTTTTTGCCCCTTTTTTGGCCCCTAATTCCTAAAATTTTGAGGCAATTACCCCCAAAATCAATTACAGCCTCCCTTTGTGATATGGAACCTTGTGGTACAATGTCAGAGAGATCCATACTTTTACACACAAGTTATTGTCTGGAAGTTACAAAAATGCTTATTTTTGGCCCCTTTTTGGCCCCTAATTCCTTAACTGTTGGTACCATAACCCCCAAAATCAATCCCAACCTTCCTTTCGTGGTATTGAACCTTATGGTAAAATTTCATGGAGATCCATTCACTTAAACTAAAGTTAGAGTGCGAAAACCAATGTGTCTTCGGACGACGCCGGACGACGCCAGACGACGACGACGACGACGACGACGACGACGCCAACGTCATACCAATATACGACCAAAAAATTTTCAATTTTTGCGGTCGTATAAAAACAGGTTTAGATTCAGCATTTCAAAGAACCGCATATATATTCAATTTATGTTGCAATCAAACACAGTTTAGTTTTGGACCCGGATTTAGATCAACTTGAAAACTGGGCCCAAAATCAAAAATCTAAATACATGTTTATTAACAGACAAAATTAATATAAGCTTAGTTTTTAAAGGTGTTGGCTTCATCAAAAAGAAAATAAATGGGGAATGTGTCCATGGGACACAGATGATGCCCCCCCCTTTGCATATAACATTATAAAGGGACATAATTCAAGAACAGTAAAAGTGACGCTACCCAAATTTGTACTTGATTTGATTTTTGTGGTAATGAGCATTGTGTATAAGGTTCATAACATTTGGTTGAGGCAAACTTAAGTTACAGAACGGAAACGAAAAATTCAGCATTTTTCCATTTATAAAGGGGCACAACTCTAGAACGGTTAAAGTGAATCCAACAAAATTCAAACTTGATCTGTGTTTTGTGGTAATAAGCATTGTGTATAAGTTTCATAACATTTGGTTGAGGCAAACTTAAGTTAGAGAAAGGAAACTAAAAAATTTGTAATTTTTCCATTTATTAAATGGCAAACTCAAGTCAGAGAACGGAAACCAATTTTTGGGACGCACAGACATACGTATAGACGGACAAGGGTAAAACTTAATGCCCCCTCCGCTATGGCGGGAGCATAAAACATCTAACAATAAATAGGGAATGTATCCATTGGACACAGATGATGCCCCTTTTGCATATAACATTATAAAGGGCCATAACTCAAGAACTGTTAAAGTGACACTACCCAAAGGAGTAGGTTCAATAAGACCCCTTTTTGGCCCCAAAATATAGCAGTTTTACAAAATTTTGAAAATGTAATCTTTTAGCTATTTATTGGAAAGTAGAATGCTTCTACTACATAAATATGGACTGTTTTTGACAATACAATGCACATATTTCGGGTACTAGCATCATGAAGTCATGCTAAATTACTGAAATCTTCACAATTTTAGCATTTTGGTTAGATTTTAGATGGTTTCCATCTTAAATGAAAGTGGCCGCATTCGTGTTCATTCATAATATTGAAATGTAAGTTCTATTTGATGATAATACATAACATATATAAAGGTTGAGGATGAACACGGATGCGGCCACTTTCATTTTTGACAAAAACCATCCGAAAAGTGACATTTTCTGGCATATTTGATAGATTTTTCATATTTTAGCTTGAATCGAAGCGTTTTTAATGACTACATCAGTTAAAATATGTCACATAAACTAATTGAATCAATTGAAATAGACACTTCAGTGTTTAAAAAGTGTCTAAAATCTTTCGTTAGATGAACCTGAAATTTGAGGCCAAAATCGGCCCTTACTGGACCTACTCCTTTGAACTTGATCCGAGTTTTGTGGTAATTAGCATTGTTTATAAGTTTCATAACATTTAGTTGAGTAAACTTAAATAAGAGAACAGAAACGAAAAATTCAGCATTTTTTCCATTTTTAAAGGGGCATAACTCTAGAACAGTAGAAGTGGCACCACCGAAATTCAATCTTTATCTGTGTTTTGTGATAAACAGCATTGTGCATAAGTTTCATAACATTTGGTTGAGGCAAACTAAAGTTAGAGAACAGAAACAAATATTTCAGCAATTTTGAGATTTGTAAAGGGGCATTACTCTAGAACGGTAAAAATGACGCCAACAAAATTCAAACATTAATCTGAGTATTGTTGTAATTAGCATTGTGCATAAGTTTCATAACATTTGGTTGAGGCAAACTTAAGTTACAGAATGTAAACGAAAAATTCAGCATTTTTCCATTTATAAAGGGGCACAACTCTAGAACGGTTAAAGTGACTCCACCAATATTCAAACTTGATCTGTGTTTTGTGGTAATAAGCATTGTGTATAAGTTCATAACATTTGGTTGAGGAAAACTAAAGATAGAGAACGGAAACGAAAAATTCAGCAATTTTCCATTTGTAAAAGGGCATAACTCTCGAAAGGTAAAAGTGATGCCACCAAAATTCAAACTCGATCTGTGTTTTGTGGTAATAAGCATTGTGGATAAGCTTCATAACATTTGGTTGAGGCAAACTAAAGTTAGAGAACGGAAACTAATTTTGGGACATACGGACGTACAGACTGACAAGGGTAAAATTTAGTGCCCCCTCCACTACAGCGGGGGCATAAAAATTCAAGTATCTAAGACTAAAATATCAATCAGTACACATCCAATATCCAATGGATTTAGTGTAAAGATGTCATATGTTGACACACAAAAGTTTTACAAGCGTACATGTACTGTATGTATATTTTGCATGACTTAGAAAACAATATTCATACCTTTTACTCCCAAGGCCATTGTTGTTGCCACCTATTGAAAAGTAATATCTTTGTCTCACTACAAGCAACTTTCCTTGAAAGCAAAACAAACGCTTTCCAAATTTCATCTTCAATGAGGACAACTGAAACCCTAAAAGTTTCAGTTTCCAGTAATTTCAGGACTTGTAAAGTAACTTTTTTGCCAGTATGTTCTACATCATAAAATTAAAGAAAATAAACAAATAACAAAATTCTACAAATATCACATTTATTTCTCATTCTTTCACACAAATGCAAAAAGCTTGAAATGAAAAATATAAAATTTGTAACATCACTAACATACAAAATAAACAAGAATTTTTCTACCAATATAGCTGTAAATAACAAACTAAAATGTTTTGAACTAGATATTTGCTAATATACACTTAATTTGTTTTTTTTTTCTGACTTACTTAGTAGCAAAAAAAGTTTGTTGTGTTTCATGAGACTGTTGGTTATCTTTAGAAACATATTGTTTGGTCCATCACTAGAATTAAATTAAAACTCTACCGTAATTAAAACATTTAAATCAAAACAAAGCTAAGTGCCTAGAGAAGTTAAACCAATTGATACAAAATTATTACCAGTTTTACATAATGATAGAATTTTAATGAGGAAGCCCATATACCCCTTGTCGCTATATCAATATATAATATGGAAATCCACTTCCCCAAATAATAGTTCACCATTTCTGATATCAAAATAAAAAAATATCTCAAATTCTGATAAGAGTAAACTTTCATTCAAATTTGTAGAAAATCTGACAAGAAACGATGGCACTATTCAGTCAACAACAAAGATATTATACCTGTGGACAAAGATTTTACATTTCTTACCTTATCTCATCTAAGATCATTTATATATGAATGTTAAATATTGCATTGATTGCATGCTCACGATTGCAAAGTGTCTTTTTAATGTCGAATTATGAGAAAATATTTTATTGCACAAACATAAAGAGTAAAATTCTAACAAAACTTTTAAAGTCTTGATAGCTATTAGAACATTTAATAAAAAGTCTTATAACAGAAAATAAATATATCATCACATACCACCAGAATGTTCCAATATGTTTCTAACTACTATAAACTTCCTCTAGTAAATAAAATCACTTTCTTCCTCTACTAATTTCCAACTTTTTTTTAGAGGCCTCATTTCATAAGTAATTCAATATAACAATAATAGAATAAACTGCACAAGAAAATTACGTAGTAAGGATCATAATGAAGACTGTTGTGGGATATAAACAGAAATAGTAATAATGCTGATGAGAATAAAATAAATATATAAATAAACAGAATATTTACAAACCTAGGATATTTTAGCACTTTTATATCACACCTAAAAAAACCAATAAAGTTCTTATCCTGGACTAAAAATAAACAAGACATGTCCTCATTCTGGACTCAGAAAAAAACAAGACAATATGTAAAACTATGAACAAGGTTTTTTGTAAAAAGTGGACAAGTTTTGGGATCTTAAATATGCACTACAATTTTTAACTTTTTTCTTTGAAACAGCAATGTTGATTTAATGCATATTTTTAGAATAAAATATCCGAAATGTTAATGACATCATAGATACACCACAAATGATATTTTCATCGCCAAAGTGGTCAGACAATATCAGCCTATTTCTTCATCATAAAAAACATAAAATTGTAAGGATTGAATAATTTTACTATTTCCAGGTGACAAAAAAATAATTCTTATATTCACTGCTTTGCAACAAAATAATAACTTTTTGAAATGCTTACAGTAATGTGTTTGTATATTCGGCTTCACATATTATGATTTTGAGCATACTGGTACTTGAATGGGTCTTAAACAGATTCAAATGTTCTCCACAGTAAAATGTTACGTAATTTATCTAAATTTAAATAATTTCACAAAATTAAAAAATGAAATATATAAAAAAACTGAAATTCAAAGAGATAACGAAAAAACCTTTTTCACACAGTTTTTCTATCAAGTTTCATTTTCATCAGAAACATTACAGTATCAAAACATCAAGTTTAAGGAAATGAAACTAGAATGATTACATGCATTGAGAAGGCAATATACAAATGAAACACAAATAAACATTATAAACAATTATTCATCAATTACTGCAAGTAGTTATAAACATTTCAGAGTAATATTAGTTTGACAAATAAAAAAACATATCTATGCCACATAATACATAGAACAGAGAGCTTTGAAACATTTTTTTTCAAACAATTTGTTTACATCAAAATTCAACAGCTTCAAATTGAATTATCTTAATAATACTTATAATTCCTTTGACAATTTGGAAATAAAGGGTTACCAATGGCACAGCATGCAGAATGATACAACCCCATCATGAAGACCCCCAACAGTGAAACTACTGTCTGTCCCTTTGGCCAATTACAGTTAAGAAACCACAACAGTTCCACAGTGTGTTTGGTGCATTCCATCTAAATCCCTCATCAAGGGGATTCATAGAGACACAATCCCTTTTAAACTGGATTAAAACTATATAAAACATGTTGACTGAAAATTTGAAAGTTCATATTAGTTGGCTACTGAAAGCTTTCATGAAGAGAACCAACCTCCCAGGTTTAATAATCAAATTCTGTCAAAACTTGAGGGAAAATTTCTACACCTTGTATAATAGCTTCCCTTTTCCATGTAAACCTCAGAAACTGTTAGAGCTGTAACCACAAATAAATTATAGTTAAGGTTTTCCATTAGTGAGAGAGTAAAAAATAAAATCATTTAATTATTTCTTAAGAACCATTTTTGGACTATCAGTCAACCAGATCAAAAGTATTTACATGACAAATCATGAAAAACAGCAGTACCATACTATTAATTCAAATTAAGGCTCATATAATGAAATCAGTGTACATTTAACAATATGAATGTGCCCTTTAAAAAAACAAATCTATTTAAGAGGTAGGCAGATATATATATCAAATTTAAAAAAAAACTGTTTATGGTCATAAAACTTACTGGGCCTAAAACATCTGAAATGTTATTGTCAATTTTAACAACAAACCTAACAATATAAAATTAATACTTCCTGTAGCAAAAACTTAACATGTAAAAATATTCTATGGGATCGTATCAAAATTATTCCAAAAGAATAAACAAACATGGTTCTTGTTGTTTAAAAATAATCCTCTAAAATAAGATTAATTACGCAAACACTGGTGAATACCTACCATTTGAAATAATAAGCAGATAAAACAGTTTAATGCTACAAACTACATGTTAAATGTATTGGTTGACTTTTTTCTAAGACTATTTTAAAAGCATAAGCTGGACTGTACAATAAAATAACTACTGTTTTATTTAGCTACTCCTGCAATACGGATTAATTCATTTTAATTAAAAGTTTGCAAATTGACATTTGACATATATTTAGTTTATAAGGTATGAAAATCTGAATGCTTCAGATATTTATATAAATAATGAAACTTAACAGCAAAGAAAGCAGTAATACTTCTATAGGAAAATATGTGTATTCATTGTTTAGACACAAAAATACATGTATCTACTTTGGTTTAGGACCAAAAAATATAAATAGGCCTCATTTAGCTCTTATTTTTTCAACAAATAAATTAACAATTTAACTTTATAATCTTTATCATTTTAAGCTGTGAATAACTTTTGATAATAAATTGGCTTCTAAAATTAAAAAAATAACATCAATCTTGTTCAACATACAAACAAACAAAAACAACAACAAAACACTAAAATTGGTCTCTCTATATATAAAATATTTTCTGAACAACAAATAGAAAATGAAAAAATCTAAAGAAATATGATCTACAAATTAAAGCCATAAATGAGTCTGAACAGAAAGAGATTATAGCTTACCATGAATAATTGATAAATAAAATATACCAATAATTCTAAAAATAACATTGCAACTTCAATAGTTCCATAGCAAGAAATCCATGATGGATGCCATTATAAATTTTTCAATTTTGTTGTTTACAAACTTAAAAAAGAATACTCTTTATTCATATCTGTAGAAAAAAGACTCATTCCAAATTTTATTTTCTTATATCTATGTAAACCCTAAAATTGCATTTAAGTTTCCTTGACCTTGACCTTGACCTGTGACCTTGAAAATGAATAGGGTTCAGCATTCCTAACAAAAAGACATAAGATGATGTTTAATGAAGATTGGACCTATTGTGTCTGTAAGATTAAATCTCTTAAACCATATTTTGAACTTGATATTTGACCCAGACATTACAATAACACAAGGTTTAAGCTCTTCATCAGGCAACTATTTAAAATGTTTTGATTAAGGTTGCATGTAAGAACATAAGTGTCATATAGGAAACATTATTTTAACGCCAACGTTCTTATGCCCTCTTGATAACAAAAAAGGATGCAATGCAAGAGTAGATAGCGCAACATCTCAAAGCTCTAATCTCCTATGCTGAAGTAATCTGTATCATTGTGACCTTTAAATAAATTAGTTCAAGAGCTCTGCCTGGTAGGTCTATGTTCTATTTAGATTAGACTCAAGAACATAGTTCATGAAATAGACTACAAATTATGCCTTCAATTCTTCAAACTTTGTAATTCATTCATATTTTTTTGAAAGATACTCCATATCTATGACTTGTTTCTTAAAAAAAAACATTTGCTTCTTTACAGTATTACAATGTTTAACTGAAAATTATTCATCATATTTAAACCTGCGTTTTGGTCTTATAAGATAAATAAAATACAATGACTCACAAATTGGTGCAAGGTATATTAATACTTTCAATAGTAACTTTAAATGCTTCCTATGTGTAGACAAAATAGAGGGTTTATAATCAAAATAACATGTGGCAGGAAATATATCTGGAATAATAACATGGTTCTGAAATGAACTTGTGTGTATTTGGAAAGAATCAAAATCTATATACTGTTACAGAATACACAAAGAAAAACATAAAATCTAAGGCATCTTGGCAGTATACATTCATATCCACATGCACACACTTCTACAAAGCTTAGAGTCTGGTATCAAAATGATGTGATAGGGTAACAGACAAAGATACACAACTTATGGCTCAAGAACATTGTGGGTTGACATAATGATAAGGGACAGAAATGATTCAAGTCTGATCAAAAATAGATCAAAAACAATAAAATCTTCAGTTAGATGGAAAAGAATATACCAACAATAAAATGTTGATTACAATTCTACAAATTTACATGACAATGATCCATTGTCCTCATAACAAAATAAATGGCAGAAATATTTGAAGGACTAGTTGCCATGGTTATGTCAATGGTAAAATGGTTCCATGAATCCTGTGTTGTAGTTGAATTAAAGCTCAATCCTTTGACCCTCCGACATTACAAATCCAAATGAAATGGTGATCTGAACATACAAATACACAACACGAATTACTAGGTTTTTTCCCATGAATTACATATAACAGTTTAACTAGTAATATGTAGGTTCTGCTCATTAGTTTTTAAGCATAAACATTTCACTTTCAACTGTGTTCCAATATTTTTTCTTGTCAACGGAACGTTATATTTTTCCACAGATAAGAATCATTAATATGTTAACTCAAACAACTTTAAAGTCATAAAGCTTCCATGAATTTCTCCATAAATAAGTTCTCAAGATAGTCTATTCATTTGAAAGCTTTGTAAGTTGAAGATAATGTCTCCAATAAATGTGTTTTAATTCCTTGGGAACAATGACACTACATATAAACAAAACAAGACATCTCTGCTCCATCTACCAGGCATCAGTATAACGTACGTCACACTCCTGTAATGCTGGTAGTTTCTCCTGTAACAGAAAAAACAGCAAACTTCTTGGTGGGCAAACTTTGTAAGGTGTGTTCAGTTTGAGAGGACAAAAATTTAAGACTTAACAAAAGCTCAACATTTCTGATATCTCAAACCAACAAATTTATATTAAAGTCAAGATTTTTAATACAGTGGTTACTTGTAATACAGTCCTTCTTTTCTATGCCACAATTACAGATGGTCATCAATTTCCTTAGAACTCTCTTCTGAAAATTTAAGCTTCTATTTCAAAATTTCTCACCAAATATGCAGCAAAGTATGCAGTCACAGAGTGAATACACTTTAAGAGTAAACAAAAGTTCTTTTTTATGCAAGATTACCCAGTAAAGGACGTACAGATTTAATTATAACACATGAAAATTATCAATTTCTTCTATTAACTGACAGTCTGCAATTAATCTTATGTTTATCAGTGGCTTGTAACTTTTATTCTGAGTGAGGAGACATTATATAAAACATGAACACATTGATTGATTGTTGGTTGTTTAATGTCCATGTTCATGCATGTTCAGGACAAAACATGAATACAAACATACCTTTAATCCTTCAAATGTAAGTGCTGACAGACTTGTACTGTTTAAATTCAACTTCCTTAGGTTTTTGAGAGCTGAAAAGCAAAAAAATATTTTCAAATAATGTCATGAATGTAAAGCACCATACTTTGTGTTTGTATAACTTGAACTAACTTTATAGCTAGTTCCATTCTAATGTTTAAAAGAAGTAAACAAATTATTAGCATAATAACATAAGTAATTTTACTCTGTATATATAAATTTGAATCCCTAATACAATATATAAATGCAACTTAAATATAAGTAGTCTAGATACAATTTTATCATTTGATCAACAGTTACATAAAGCTTAAAAGCATTCACTAAATTATTTAAACTCTGATCTAACATAAAACTGACATAAGCAAGTTATTCTAAAACCATAATTGAAAGTTATCATAATTATTTAAATCCTAACATTCATGATAGAAAATGGCATAAACACATTAAAATTGAATTTTCAGAGAGTGGAGATAAGTTGTGTAAAAGTTGTACACTCAAAACTTACACGACAAGCAGACAAGCCCTTTATCGGTTACTGGTGTTTCACATAAGTTTAGGACCTGTAGTTTCTGCAGATACTCTGATATCAACTGTAGTCCATTATCTCCAAACTGAAATGTTATTATTTTATCACATTATTCTTATTCATTTCACAAAATCTCACTACTGTAAAAGGAAGACAGTAAAAGAATGTAACCATTAAAACATTTTTATATGTACAGGTTTATTTTTACATTTTTTATATATAGGCTTAGTTTAAATACATTGAATATTTTATTCATATCTGTTGTATAATCTGCTTCACCTTATATTGAAATATTTAACTATAGCACTATGAAATAAATAGTATTATTATAAGAGAGGACACTACACATACACCATTTTATCTCATAAAGAGATGTAGAAAAGGGTATCATTTTTAACTTCCCTTAATTCTATTCCTTCAAACAACTCTTCTGCCATTTACTTTTTACTTCAAAATCAGTTTTTGGACTTGGTTTACAGCCGATTTCAATGAGTGTGTAGGCAAAGGTAATATCTTTGGTTAGCTTGCTTGATAGCTGAACCGTGAAGTCATTGTTAGGTAAGGTATACAACCCTCCGTTCGAAGTAGCCTAGTCCAATAGACAGATAAATTGGTTATCTGTCGGACTAGTCTACTCTTAAAGGAGGGTAGTTTACCTAACCTAACAATGACTTCACGGTTCAGCTAGCAAGCAAGCTAACCAAAGATATTACCTTTGCCTACACACTCATTGAAATCGGCTGTACTGAAAGATCTACCTAGTTATCTGTTGAGCCACTAACCTGTGTTGACCATACATTCAGGAATCAGTTATTATGGTAGTATGAAGAGATCATCTACACTTGTGACATGAGTGAAAGCCAAAATCCTACCTTTTAAGTTTCCAATTGATCCAAAATTTTACAGTTTTAATGTTTTAATTTGCATTTATTTATTTCTTTCAACATACTTAATTACAAACAAGAATGTGTCCATAGTACACGAATGCCCAACTCCCACTATTACTTTCTATGTTCAGTAGACCGTGAAATTGGGGTCAAAACTCTAATTTGGCATTAAAATTAGAAAGATCATATGATAGGGAACATGTGTACCGTACTAAGTTTCAAGTTGATTGGACTTCAACTTCATCAAAAACTACCTTGACCAAAAACTTTAACCTGAAGCAGGACGGACGGACGGACGGATGAACGAAAAACGGACGGATGTACAGACCGAAAAACATAATGCCCCTAGGTGGGGCTAAAAATTCAGAACCAGGGAATTTTTCTGTCAGCCTATTTCAACCCTGAACTAACTGTGAAATGTATTCCACTTTTTCTACACTGTTCTACTAACCTGTGTTGACCATAAATTCAGGTAGCGTAAAGATGGCAGTTTGATGAGATCATCAGCACAGGCACTAGTTACATGGGTGAAAGCCAAACTCAAACATTCCAGGTTTCCAAATGATCCAGAACTCAACATTTTGGCAAGGTCTGCGTCTGTTGATTTAGAGGGCAGTGTCAACTTTTTTGGTCCACCTTTCTGTTGCTTAAAAAAAATATAGATACAAGTAAAGAAATTAATTATTTGGTTAGAAGAAAACAATGAGTAAAAGGTGTGGACACCAAAATGATAAGTAAGACAGTTTTCCAATTTCATTATACATAAGATTGAAATAAAGTAAAATTGTGCAAAATGAGAGAAAAAAAACACCATTTGCAATTTTACTATGTTGCAGTCAATCTATTCAGAAGATTATAGGTAAAATGCTTTGCCTGTTGAATATAATAAAATTAAGTTATGACATTGGTTTAATATTCATTGCTGATGCTGTTAAAATCCAATCACAAATTTTCAGAGTGTGTTTCAAAATATTATCCCAACTATTTCATATTCCTAAATGGCAAATTATTTTATCCTATCTCAATTGAAAATAGTAATTCACCCAACCTAATTAGAAACAGGAATGTCGTGACTGTCATGAAGTAAAATAAGTATACCTTCCAATAATACATTTTAACCAAAACAATTCCTATATTTTGCCTTACATACATGTAGCTACCCACTAGATTTTCATTTTTATCAATGACCTTTTCAGGTAAAGGTTGTGAAACTGTTGACACTTTTCACTTCCTACATAGGATATATAAATGTTATCTTATATGCTTCTGAAATTATATACATATTCCCACAACTTTCCTATAGGAAATAATGAAGTCTGGATTTCCAGTAACTTGATATTTTGATGAAATAACATAAATGTACTTGATGAGTAATTTTCTTTTTGTAAAACATTTTAAAATGAAGTCTAATTATAAAAATATTTCAGGATTCATGATAAAACATCAAAAGGTAAGTCTATTTTTATAACAGATCATCTGTATTCTGTCAGAAGATGGTAATTATGTTTTTGTTATTGATTTCTGACAGTCATGATGTTATAAATCAGATATACTGGAATACCGTATCAAACCAATATTTACAAATACTATATTTAATGAGAATTTTATTCTATTTCTGTTTTTCATAAAAAGTCTTTTATGGAGGCATAAATAATATAATCATTGTCTGAATTAATATCGTGACTTGTTTGAAATAATATGGGTATTTGACAAAAAAACATTGGTTTTGATATGATTAATCAATTAAATAATGAAAATTATGTTTATTCCTTTTACTTGCTTTTTCCATTGTAAATCCTTTGATTTATAGATTGTATTCATAGGGAAAGTTTCCACATTAAAAATCAAATATTTTAGAAGCTACAAGCAATGCCTGAAGAGTTGACATCTATGTAGATAATGTAACCTCCAAAAACTAAATGTTAGTGAAAATAGTACTGTTGTACAGGTTTTGCTCATTGTTGAAGGATGTAATCTTGCTGACATTTTTTTCTATTAGTTTCTATCTACACAAAATTGGGTAAAAATCATCATTCAAGGGCAGTCACTCCTATGAACCTTGTTTGATTGGTGGGTTCATGATCTAGTGGTTAAGATCTATGGCTGCAGTGATGAAGGTCCAATGTTTGATTCTGACTTAGGGCGCTGGAAAATTCAATACATCAGAAGGGTGATTTTCATCCTCCCACACAAATCCCTGGTACCCAGACCAGGGCTTAAACTAGGATGGGTACTTTGGGGGCCCCAGACTTTGACCAGCTGGAGATCAATCTGCTGATATCTTTATGGTTTGTCTCTTCACGTCAAGCATCCAGGTGGTTTTCTCATCAGAGTACTTCGTCTTCCTCCAACATAATAACAGACTTCTCAGTGTCCTAGCACACCCTTTGTGTTGGGGTAGGGATTGTCCTTGTAAATATTGTTGTAAATATGTTAGTGACACATCTCAATTAATCCCTATAGGGAGTGTACACAGGTTCCACTGTACCCTTACAGCTCTCGAGGGGCGCTCCGAATAATGGAGGAATCTATCGGTACATATATACATAACTACATGTTGATCATTTTTGCTTTTAAAGTTTCTTTCTATCTTTAATAGTTTTAAAGATAATAAGCAAAAATTAGTAAAATTGCCCTTTAAGAGCAATAACTTCTTTAAAAAGGTGACTGGTGTTTTTGGCCATGTCAACTTATTTGAAAATCTGGTCTTGCTGGTCATTAATGCTGTTTAAAGTGTTTTTCTATCATAGGTTTCAAGATAACAGGCAAAGAAAAATGAATATTTGACCTTTTTGAGGTAGGGGTGAGCAACTAAGACATCCAATACTTCACCCTTTTCATATCTTTTAAATAACAAAAAATACATACTCTATCATATATTTTTTGACAAAAAATATACCTATTGCTATGATGCATACACTATTTCATGGAGAGATGAATAGTTTTGACAAAATTCTGATGTATTCATGACTGTAATTTTAATCGCATCTGTGAAAATTTGTGATTAGTTTCAGATACTTATGATTCAATCAGCAACCTTCATGACCTTGTCATATATTTCATCTTAAATTTTCAACCCTATCACATACCATGCAACCCATTTAAGCCCCTCATCCCTACCATACATTATATAGTAAGTGGCCCCCTTTTCAGTTACTGTGAGTACTCTTAAGATTGGTATGTCTTTTGTCAGTTGCTTTTGACAATTGTATTGATCTGAAGATTCAAGCCCTTTTGAAATGATTTTTAAAGTTCTTTCTAATGTTGTGCTGTTACACCACTGTCCCAGGGTGGGGAAGGGTTGACTGCTAACAAACATATTTAATATCAACCAATCAGTTTGTCTGTCCAAAACCAGGAGCATGTACTACAGTGGTTGTCATTGGTTACTATCTGCCTTAATTGTTAGACTTTTAACGTTTCTACCTTTCAAAAAAAGGCCATTAGTTTTCCGTTTTTGCATTGTTTCTAATCTAATTATTCAGGTGCCTATTATAGCTTACTATGCAGTATTGGGTTTGCTCATTGTTGAAGGCCATACAGTGTCTTTAGTTGTCTTTGTCCTTAGTCCTTGAAGGAAAGTTGTCTCACTTAAATAGCAATTATAACAATTTCTTTATTTCTATATACAAAATAAGTGATATTGAATGACAACTAACCAGTTCCCTGAGAGCTATCTGTCTGTCACAAAGCTGAGCATACAGTCTCTTTCCTGTACTGGTACTCTGTAGAGTTGTTACTATCTGCATCTTCATATCATTGTTCTCTACTACATCCATTTCTAACATTGCACATAAAACCTGAAACAGTGTATCAGAATTATATAACTTAAACTATAAAATGACACATTTTAACTCTAAAAATTAAATATATAGTTTTTCTACCTCTGCATTGAGTTTGATAAATATTTCTCCACTCCAGAAAGTTAAACTTGAAATATTTGAAACATAAGGCTGGTTGAGTTTTTTTATGCAAAATTTAACTGTTAAGAGTGGATAAATATCGTATTGCACAAGATTCGGTGGTGGAATCCATTAAACCAATGATTTTTAGATGATATGCAGACAAATCCTTTTTTCAATGATCTAAAAAAACATGTGTTCTTTGTGACATCATCAGACATTGTGGCCTTTTTTTCGTGATGTAATAAAATAGGAAATTCAGAGGTAAGCAAAAAAAATTTAAGTCATAATTGAATTTTTAATGAGTGAAGAACTGAGATCAAACGAATCACACATTGATTATAAAAAAATTTCAATCAGTCAGGAAAAGTATAAATTGGGTGAGATTAAGAGAAATATATATAAATATATGTTAGCAACTAAATAAATGGTCTCCATACATTAAAGGACTAAACATAAATTATATTTTCCAAAAGAAAAAACCTACCTCCATAGCAGCTTCATTTTCCCGTAAAGCCAGCAACATTACTGGTCCTAACATTTTGTTTAATCCTTGTAGGAACTTCTTTCTTCTTCCACAACAATGTATCAGTGTTTTCAGCTGAAACATTAAAGATCATAGTGCAAAATTTTTACAATATCATGTATTCTTTCTCTTTCTTTCCAAGTTTTGATTTTGTTTCTTTTTGTTTGGAGTCTGAAGCAATGTTTTTTTTTGGGGGGGAAATAAAAAAATATTGCATGGTTTTCTCCAATTTGTCTTCACACAATATCATTAAAAAATCTCTTTCTCATCAATCATAATATCTTATTCTAAACAAAAGTCAAATCATTTCTCTTGTTCCATCTTTCTTTACCTAGCACAACATCCTCAATTTCTCCAGCATCAATACAGCTAAGTATTAAAAAGAGGAATACATCATATTATTCATTCCCTCTTTCTCTCTATACCTATCATAACTTATCCCCAGTTTGCCATCATTAAGAAATATAATGCCAAGTATACAAATATTCAATCCTTCCTCAACTCTACCAATCTATCTCTTCACCATCCTTAACTCCACATTCATAATTTTACACAATTTTCTTTCTTCATCCATGTTTATAAAGATAGAACCAGTCCTTTTATCCACTTCTCCTTTTCTGTTAATCTACTTTCGTATTTATAGCCTATGCAGCCAGGTATATAAAGGTGGAATTTACCTACTAAATTTCTCTGGTTTCTTTCGTTATCATAGGATATACAACCTGGGTCTATCTCTCTCCATCACCTACTAAAACCTTTCACAGTTTCTATCATTATCATAGCTTATACTAACAGGCTTATGAAGTAACCAGTCCACATCTTGACCGTCTCTCAGCTATAACCTACCATAACTCCCCAGAGTTCTCCTTCATCATCACAGCCAATACTACTGGGTATATAAATGTGGAACCCGCCCTCTTTTCCCTCACGAATTTCCAGAATTCTCTCCATCTCTCTCTCTCAAGTATAACCTACCATAACTCCCCAGAGTTCTCCTTCATCATCACAGCCAATACTACCGGGTATATAAAGGTGGAACCACCCCTCTTTTCCCTCACGTATTCCAAGAATCGTCGAGTGTACATCACAGTGTGTGTCGGAGGCTATATTATGCATCACATCTTTCATTTTTCTGAAATAATATTTATTCAAATTGTTAAATCTTATCAAAATAAATAAACAATTAACAAGTTATTGAAGTTGCTTACAAACTTACTGAAGAAATCCTAGAAATGAAGTAAATCTGTCCTATACTCACATGACCTATCAATATACCACATACATTTCTACACTCGTGTAATATAGAGCTTGCCGTATTGTATAAACCCTTGTCTTTTTTATTTTTATTTCTAAAATTATATGTTGAACTCTAGATATTTTTTGTTTATTTTTTTGGCAGGTTTTCTGCTTTAACTACTAATACACTATCTATCTCAGTTAATTCATATTCTCCTCACAAAATTTATTTTTTTATAAAAAATAATGTTACCCAAAAGTATTTTATGTGTTAATACCACAAACATTTTCTTGCCCTGTTTTTTAAAACTTAATTCTATAGAAATCTGTAATATTTTAGCATGTGTTAGTTTTACTTTGCTTCAAATCATGACAGCCAATAACCTTTCTTCAATAAACCTTTTTCCTATTTTTCTGACATTTCAGGTTATCACAGACATAAAATTCTGATAACACAAGTGAAAATGTCTGTCACAAAGCAAAAACAATTTTTTATTTGACATTAATAGGTCAAATATCTCAGAATCTCAAATAGCTATAAGGTTAATGCTTTTTCACTAGTTACAAACTTAAACCTATAAAGATGAGAACTAAACAGTTGTTTAAATGAAAATATATCCCTTGAGCTTTTTCTACGTTTCTAAGAAAAATACTTTTAGTCTCTCATGGGAATACATTAGAATTGAATCAGTCTTTTCTGAGGTATAAAAAAACCACACTAATGAATTATATTAAGTAAGGGTTTGTATGTATAAAAAAAACACAAATGTACAAATAATTTCTTATCCATAATTTACCTGTGATTTAATTAGACCTCGTTTGTTAACTGTAACATTTTTGTCTGACTAATATGACACATTTATAACACTTCTGTTTCTATATTAAATTTAAACATACTAGTATTTTATGACCACAATGTAATATTTCATCTTTTCAATTGATTCCCTAGATCAATGTTGGTTTATCGTATCCTATCCATTTTCTATCCTATAATTCTCCCATGACTCTAAGCAATCAATAACTTTCAGTTTAAATTTTACATTGTGTCAATCATTAAATACAGCCAGTGTGAAGAATAAGAAGTGTTTTAATTTAAGATTTGCATAGTTTTGAGACTATCCCACTTGATTAATCAGATTTTATCTTATATAATACTTACGATGTGAAGGTTTCATCCACAATAGCACTGAAAATTAAAAATTAAAACAAATTTTACATTTAATACATAAAAAAATTACAACTCAACTGTTTACTCAGTGGAAATTATAAAACTGTCCACTCAATAGGAATATTACAAATATGTTTTTAAGTGTGTCCAGTACCCACAGCCAACTGTTTTAGGTGCTGTTCTGACAAAAATACCAAAAAAATTTAAAGCTGTGACTGGTAGTCAACTTAAAATTACAGCATGCTTTGAGTCATAAATACCAATAATATATTATTAAACCAATTATGACCAAGAAATATTTTTATCACATTTACTGGGTTTGATACTAACTTAGAAGATATGACCTTGGACAAATATGATGACAATAATGACAACAATGGTGTGAAGTTCTACCAAGAAACAAGCAGAAAGTACAAATTACAGTTTGAACACCATTTCAGTACAAAGTACAAAGATCTACCATGATTAATGACATATACATTTTGTACATAAGTGATCTTCACCAATTGTGTAAAATATTACTTTTATCAAGCCAGCAATACTGAGGTATACCTGTTCAGTCTCAACACATTTATCAGCCGGAACTTTGACCTTACAGACAGAATAAAGAATCATGCCCAAGAACAGTTTTAATAATCATGGATATAACCAGCAGGTACAAAGATATTACTTTTTAAAAGACAACTTCAATGAGCACAAAAAGCAAAGTCCATATTTTTGGTATAGGAACCCCAAAAGATCACTCAAATCAAATATTCAAATAGCAGGTGCACAGCTTCACTTCCTGTAGCAGAATTTGTTCAAGTTGTTTGAAATCGGTCATGCAGCTTTGAAGGAGTTGCGAATTAACAAAATGTGACAAGGACGGCACAGCAGATGACATGACTACTGTGGCAAAAGATGACAAAAGTTAACCCTTGTTTCACCAAAACTGTACGGTATCGGGCAACACAAAAATAAACAAAAATTAATGATTTATCTAATATTCAATAATAAGCATACTCATTTGGAAATGGAATGGGTTGAAGTAAACTCCCAAGTATGTGTCTCCAGTCTTCAAATGTTGACCTGGGAAAAAAAATCAAAGATTCACTAATTTGTCAAGTATATAGGGTTACATTATTTGTTCAATTATAATTTACCAACCTTTTCATTAAAATTTTTAAATAAACCTTTAAAATCTATTCTACTTGTACTAGTACTTTAGATATATATAAAAAAAAAAATCTGTTCTTTTTAAGACCTCTTTGGCTTCCAAAACTTATGGCTCTGCGACTCATTTCACAAAAAATCTTACAACAAAAAATACTTGCAAGTCATGAACATATCTGAATAACTTATGATCTATTTTAGTCATAAGATAATTTGTAAAAAGAACCCCTGGGCTTTTCCTGGCCACATGTTGATCTGTAAATAGACAGTGCTTTCAAAATAGTTAATTTGATATGTTTCGACTAGACACCAGGAAATTAAAATTATGATACAAAGACAATTTTTACTTAAAATGAAGTCATCATAGATAACATGTGTTTTTAATGCTTACAAAATAAACTACAAAAATAGAGAACGTTAAAAACATTCATCTATATATCTTGATAGATTCCCACATCAATATCATATATTTTAGGAATCACTTGTAATAGAAAGTGTCATGTCCCCCCTTCATTGTTAGACAAGATTTCCCTAGAAGAATATATGTACAAAGCACAGGTACAAAGGTATATAGAAGATAAGTTTTAACAAGTGCTACAACAAATGATAACTAGATTTGACAGATGTTGGAAGATTTCTTTATACACTTCTGTAGTCTTTGAAAGCTGTGGTCTGTACTTTGTTCTTTTGAAACAGTAATGCAATCTTTTTATTTTAATAAAGCAACAACAATAATCATATATTCTATATTATTCCTAATCAACTTGTTTTCATTTCATTATTTTCAAGTCACACTTAGAAATCTATTTCATGCATATTCAAACATTATCAAACAAAAATAAAAAGAATTTAAAAAATCTCTCAAAATAAGTGTAATATCTTACATTGTTGTCAACATTCCTACATATAGTCTAAGTCTTTTCTCCCATTCCTGCTGGTCAAATGATGGAATAAGTGTATTATTCTGCATGGCTCTGAAATACACATAAATCAAAATGTTACTTAGGCAAGAGTACTAGAGGATATTAATATTGCTGACATCTATCAAGACTTGGTAGTAGAAAAAGTTAAATATTTGTCTGATGGATATATATAGAATAATGGCATTATTGTTTTTGATACTGACTTTACCAGCAAGAAAATCTTGCAAGCCCGCTAGGGAAAGCTTATATTTAAGTTGATGAAGACTTTATAAAAATTAAAATCCCATTATCATTTTCATCAGTTATGTATGTTTCCTGGGGTAGAATATAAAATTACAAAAAAATTTTTTTTAAATTCATTTTATGCCCACAAAACATGGGGATAGTAGTTTGGTTTTGAATGAATCAAGTGGTGTGCATATCATTGGTAAACTGATGAGGATGGATATGAAAAGTGTGCATATCATTGGTAAATTGATGAGGATTGATATGAAAAGTGTGCATATCATTGGTAAATTGATGAGGATTGATATGAAAAGTGTGCATATCATTGGTAAATTGATGAGGATTGATATGAAAAGTGTGCATATCATTGGTAAATTGATGAGGATTGATATGAAAAGTGTGCATATCATTGGTAAATTGATGAGGATTGATATGAAAAGTGTGCATATCATTGGTAAATTGATGAGGATGGATATGAAAAGTGTGCATATCATTGGTAAATTGATGAGGATGGATATGAAAAGTGTGCATATCATTGGTAAATTGATGAGGATTGATATGAAAAGTGTGCATATCATTGGTAAATTGGTGAGGATGGATATGAAAAGTGTGCATATCATTGGTAAATTGATGAGGATTGATATGAAAAGTGTGCATATCATTGGTAAATTGATGAGGATTGATATGAAAAGTGTGCATATCATTGGTAAATTGGTGAGGATGGATATGAAAAGTGTGCATATCATTGGTAAATTGGTGAGGATGGATATGAAAAGCATAAAGTTGCTGCATTATTATATGTTGTCAATGCCAAACATTTTTTTAGTATCACATCCTGTCCGTGATCTAAGAAAATATAAGGCAGTAGGATCATACAGACAATGTAAAAATTACAGATAATCAGGTATATCTGTCGAGTTTAATTGTCAGTTAATATCTAGGTATTTTTTATACCATGGAAGGTTTAACGTTTTTCATTTTGCACAGTTGGTTGTGAATTTGGCGATTTTAGCCTATCTTCTAATATTGCTAAAACTACAATCATGGTAAATAAACAAAAAGACTATAAATGGAACATTAGATTAACTATAAATGGAACATTAGATTAACTTGTCATAATATTCAGATTACAATACTAACAAATAAATAAATTTGGTGTATTTACTGTCTTCTGGTTGGATAAAAGTATTACCTTTATTTTCAATTTTGTCAATTTTTGTGTGTACGTTGTTGTTGTTAATATAAATAATATAAAAAGCTCTTTGAGCCTTATTTTTGATAGAAATTTATTTATAATGAATGGCTATTATTTATTTTGAATTTATTGAACCATAAAATTAATTTTTGACTCTTCACATTTTACATAATCCGCGAAAGCCATTCATTAAATAACACTTGCATTTTTTTTCAATCTTTGAAACGGAATTCATAGTTATAAATAAATTTTAATTCAAAATTGTTATATTTAGATATAAGAAGATGTGGAAGATATTTGCACATTAATTTTTCTTTAATTTCATCTTGTAGATAATGTGCTTATAGGCTTCAATTACTATGCTTTTTAAACATAGATATTTAACACAAAGAGTATTATATATAAGGACTTCTGATATAATGTATAGAATTGTGTGAAATACATACAATTTCTTGTCCTCAAATGAACTGTAAACAGCTGCCAGGCATACAGCAACCAGATTAGGTAACACTCTTGGATGTGGACAAACTAATGCTGGACCATGCATGCTGTAAATCATGAAAATATGTTCTTAATGGTCACACTAGTCATGAAAACATTTACACTTAATAAATACCTTAAGTTAGTATAGCAGCCTGGGTCCAATCTTTATTACCAGTCACAAAGACAGAATAGAATTGATTCAGGGCAGGTCAGTTCTTTTTCATGTGTGAATACGCAAATAATATAAACAATCACTAAACTGACAGGAATGTGATATACAGATAAAATCAATAAGGTTTATGGGTTCATTTTAAATAAGATAACTTTTATTATGACTGACATGAATAATAATAAATCAATTTAAAACAAATTTCTGAATTCATTGATATATCTAAAATGATTCCCACCATATCTCAGAAAATAACTCAATACTTAATAGATTGTCTTAACATCTTATAAATGCAAGCTTGTTTTTATGTTCCTAACTGGCTCTATCATCAACAGTGAGTCAATATTACAGGCTATGCATGATAAGAGAGAGTATTCCACAATCATGGATGGAAAATTATGGGTATAGATTTTACTGAAATAAATTTTAATAAAGAAATGCAATTTATTTTATTGACTCGTTTAAATGATGTGGATGTTCATATGGAAAAAACTACAAATACAGACAGTGTTTGATTTATTCTCAAAATAAAACTTTGACATAACTCAGACAATCGAATTTATAACAGATTATACTTTGTATCTAGGATATAGTGTGGACCAATTAATGGTCAAATATTCATCTCATCTACATACAAACAGTTGAATATGATATAAAAGATGACTCTAAGATGATATATACCACTAATGGACCTCTTTGTCTTCATTATAAGGTCCTATTTGGTCCATTTATACCTCTCATTTCCTCAAAATTTCAACTTTTTAGGCCAATAAACCAATAAATCAAAATTTTGGCGCAACTATCACACATTTATGACAAAAATGTGATAATAAATGAGTAATTGAAGTGCTCAAACTGAATGAACTATCCATATAAAAGTTTACTGACTCCATGGAGGTTTCAATAAGTCCTTACGTAAAACTTAAGTTTATGCCAGGCTCCAAAGAGGGACATAAAATGCTTCCCTTTTAGTGAATAATTTGTTGTTACTGCTTCTAAAATAATTTCTTTTACTTATAACTGTAAAAATCGTCATTACGGGCTATAACTCCAATAATAAGTCCTTGGAAAATTTCCTCTCAATTGTCTTAAATGTAGATCTTGTCTTGCTGATCATTTTTGCTTATTTAAGTTTCTATCTTTCTATTATAATTTTTAAGATATAAGTCAAGAATGTGAAAAATTGGTAAAATCATCATCAAAGGGCAATAACTCTAATTAGGAGTCGGCTGACGATTTCGACCATGCATACTTAATTGTAGATCTTGTCTTGCTGGTCATTTTTGCACCCAAAGGTTTCTCTCTATCTATTATAGTTTTCAAGATAAAAGGCAAAAATGAAAAAAAAAAATTGTAAAATTTGTCATTTAAGGGCAATAACGCCTATGAGAAGTCGCCTGACAGTTTTGACGTCATTGAACAATGAGTAGAACTCATTACTCTGAACATGTTTGCCCTCATCAGATTTATTCTATTTATGTCAATTTTCAAAATAATAGACAAAACTTGCATTTTACCCCTCTGTTCTATTTTTAGCCTTGTCGGCCATCTAGGTTGGCTGGTCGGGTCTTCGGACACATTTTTAAAACTATATACCCCAATGATTATTGTGGCCAAGTTTGGTTAAATTTGGTCCAGTAGTTGCAGAGGAGAAGATTTTTGAGCTACAAATGAACAGATGGACGAAAAAACACAGATGGCTGGAAAAGATGATTGCAATATAGCTCTCACTTTTGAGTGGGTATAACTATTTCAATGCATCCTGACAGTTTTTTATCTAGATCTAAAGGTTGTATTTCTGTAAATATAGACAATGCAATTTCCCATAGGAACTCCCTTTACGGCTAAAACTGTGCCACTTTTACTATGAAGTTTCGTGAAAAATTATATCCTAGAATGGAAAGTTGATATGCACTACTAATTGATTCAAAGGTCAAAACATAGGGCTGTGCAGCATATTTTCAACATTTATATGCCCCGAACTTCTAAGAGTTTAAACTTATACTTAAGTTCTGTACTACTCCTACCTTCACTTTAGGTGAACCTCAGAATTCAAAATTCCCTGCTACCACGTGTAAATATACTGGTAACATTCCCAAGTTATGTCTCTATGAGATGAAACATAGAGATCATATCTGGGAACCAGTACGTAAACAAACAAAATATCTATGTATATTATATATCTCCCCAAAAGAGGTGTGGTTTGTGAAACAGCTGTATTTACCTATAATGGGCTAACCAAATAGTTTGACCTATCTTCAGTTTGATAGTCAGATATGAAAAATAAATCTTATGAACTCCACCTTAGTTTTTATCATTAAAGAATTTCTTACCATCTTATAAAATTCTGCACCACATTGAAACCATCATTTTGACAATTCAATGCCAAAATGTATTCTTGCACAAATCCCCTCATTCTTGGAAATTTTCCAAAATCCTAATAAAACAAAGAATTTAGACAATCAAATATAAAATATCATATTCCACTCATATCTTCATTGATGTTAATTATTGATACAAATTAATAATAAAATAAGTATATTAATAGTATGTTCTAATGGTATTTTAGTCTTTCCTTTTTCTTATTTGATGTAAAACTTGTTTTCTTTCACATTCCTGATGTTTTAATTGATACTATCCAGTAACTTTAGTATAAATATATATATATATATATATAAATGTGCTAATTAGTCAAACATTCTATCTGTTAATGAGCATAATAAAAAGTCTATCACCTAGACTTAACACATAGGTTTCCAATCGTAAATGTGTCATGTAATGAGTCTAATGGGCTACAAAATATTTCTATTAGTGATTCTATGAGTACCTATATCATTTTAGTATCTGGTATTTAAACTATTTGCATTAGAAGTACTAATCAGACATGAACATGATCATACTTTTTCATGTGGAGTTTTCTAATTCAAAATCTGAATTCTCTGTTGTGGTCTATTTTCTGTTCACTCACAATGAAACTCTTGTGTGATATCATAGTATGTATGAAATGACTGTGCACTGCATATTGTTAGTATGATCTTACTGTGTACTGTTAGTATGAACTGATTCTGTACTGTTAGTATGATCTTACTGTATACTATTAGAATGAACTGATTGTGTACTGTCAGTATGAAATTACTGTGTACTGCTAGTATGAACTGCCTGTGTACTGTCAGTATGAATAATTGTGTACTGTCAGTATGAACTAATTGTGTACTGTTAGTATAAACTGATTGTACACTGTCATTATGAACTAATTGTGTACTGTCAGTATGAACTAATTGTGTACTGTCAGTATGAACTAATTATGTACTGTCAGTATGAACTAATTATGTACTGTCAGTATAAACAAATTATGTACGGTTTGTATAATTGTGTTTTGCTAGTTTGAACTGATTGGGTACTGTTAGTATGAACTGATTGTGTACTATCAGTATGAACTAATTATGGACTGTTAGTATGAACATATTGTGTAGTTAGTATGAACTAATTGTGTACTGTCAGTATGAGCGTATTGTGTACTGTCAGCATGAACTAAGTGTGTATTGTTAGTATGAACTTATTGTGTACTGTAAGTATGAACTGATTGCATACTGTTAATATGAACTTACTGTGTACTGTTAGCATGAACTGATTGTGTACTGTCAGTATGAACTAAGTGTGTACAGTTAATATGAACTAATTGTGTACTGTTAGTATGAACTGATTGCATACTGTTAGTATGAACTGACTGTGTACTGTTAGCATGAACTGATTGTGTACTGTCAGTATGAACATATTGTGTACCGTCAGTATGAACTAATTGTGTACTGTAAGAATGTTATGTACTGTTAGTATGAACTGATTATACCCTGTTTTCATGAACTGATTGTGTACTGTCAGTATGAACTAATTGTGTACTGTTATTATGAACTGATTGTACACTGTTATTATGAACTAATTGTGTACTGTCAGTATAAATTAATTGTGTACTGTCAGTATGAACTAATTACATACTGTCAGTATAAACAAATTATGTACGGTTTGTATAATTGTGTATTGCTAGTTTGAACTCATTGGGTACTGTTAGTATGAACTGATTGTGTACTATCAGTTGTGTACTGTCAGCATAAACTAAGTGTGTATTGTTAGTATGAACTTATTGCATACTGTTAGTATGAACTGATTATATACTGTTAGTATGAATGATTAGTACTGTAAGTATGAACTGATTGTGTACTGTTAGTATGAACTGATTGTGTACTGTTAGTATGAATGATTAGTACTGTAAGTATGAACTGATTGTGTACTGTTAGTATGAACTGACTGTGTACTGTTAGTATGAACTGACTGTGTACTGTTAGTATGAATATATTGTGTACCGTCAGTATGAACTAATTTTGTACTGTTAGTATGAACTGATTATATACTGTTAGTATGAATGATTAGTACTGTAAGTATGAACTGATTGTGTACTGTTAGTATGAACTGACTGTGTACTGTTAGTATGAACTGCCTGTGTACTGTTAGTATGAATATATTGTGTACCGTCAGTATGAACTAATTTTGTACTGTTAGTATGAACTGATTATATAATGTTAGTATGAACTGACTGTGTACTGTTATTATGAACTGATTGTGTACTGTCAGTATGAATTTATTGTGTACTGTAAGTATGAACTGATTGTGTACTGTTAGTATGAACTGACTGTGTATTGTTAGTATGAGCTGATAGTGAACTGTTATTATGAACTTACTGTGTTATGTTTTAGTATTCTTGTTACTACTGGTGTGAACAGTTCTATCACTATACTTGATCTAGGACTGTTTTTACAATGCTGAAATAAAAATAGCAGTCATCATTGTATTAATTTACCACTAAAAAGCATTCATATATTCTAACATTACCTGTATCTAAATTTTAACTGTAATTATCATATGAAGAAAACCTATGATTTTAGAAAATCTTCATACTAAAGCCCTACAGCATCATAGAAATGTAGTTGTAATCCTTGTCAAGGACAAAAATGTGGTAGAATGTACATCAAGTGTGCATTAAGTTTTTTAAATTCAGAAATTTATGTGATCTTTTTTATCTGTTCACTGAGAATATCTCACTCAAATTCTATTTTTCATCTTCTCCTAGAATGCACTTTCCACAGATGTAATATAAATCTGTTAGGTCATTACAAATATCTGTCATTGACTTTTCCAGTCTGAAAGACCTACTGCAGACATGTAAACATAATAACATTTGTTTGTATTATGATCTAGTGACATAAAACAGCTTTGGTAAACTGCACCATTACCATTTACACTGACACAGAATGATATATTGTTAATTCAGATATTAATCACATGTTTTTATTGATTCCAAAAATTGTGACCAAATTATATTGCATTAGTTTCTCAAATAGTGCAGTTTGCAATAAAAGATTAGATGTCACACAATTATATCTCTGACATATTTTAGTTAACTATGGAAGATTCCCATTAATAAATAAATATAGTTCCTGCAGTGACATTGTAAACAATATAAATATAGTTCCTGCAGTGACAGGTATGTAAACAATGTATATATAGTTCCTGCAGTGACATGTATATAAACAATATAAATATAGTTCCTGCAGTGACAGGTATGTAAACAATGTATATATAGTTCCTGCAGTGACATGTATGTAAACAATATAAATATAGTTCCTGCAGTGACATGTATGTAAACAATATATAAATATAGTTCCTACAGTGACATGTATGTAAACAATATAAATATAGTTCCTACAGTGACATGTATGTAAACAATATAAATATAGTTCCTACAGTGACATGTATGTAAACAATATAAATATAGTTCCTGCAGTGACATGTATGTAAACAATATAAATATAGTTCCTACAGTGACATGTATGTAAACAATATAAATATAGTTCCTGCAGTGACATGTATGTAAACAATATATAAATATAGTTCCTGTAGTGACATGTATGTAAACAATATAAATATAGTTCCTGCAGTGACATGTATGTAAACAATGTATATATAGTTCCTGCAGTGACATGTATGTAAACAATATAAATATAGTTCCTGCAGTGACATGTATGTAAACAATATATAAATATAGTTCCTGTAGTGACATGTATGTAAACAATATAAATATAGTTCCTGCAGTGACATGTATGTAAACAATATATAAATATAGTTCCTGTAGTGACATGTATGTAAACAATATATAAATATAGTTCCTGTAGTGACATGTATGTAAACAATATAAATATAGTTCCTGCAGTGACATGTATGTAAACAATATATAAATATAGTTCCTGTAGTGACATGTATGTAAACAATATATAAATATAGTTCCTGTAGTGACATGTATGTAAACAATATAAATATAGTTCCTGCAGTGACATGTATGTAAACAATATATAAATATAGTTCCTGTAGTGACATGTATGTAAACAATATAAATATAGTTCCTGCAGTGACATGTATGTAAACAATATATAAATATAGTTCCTGTAGTGACATGTATGTAAACAATATATAAATATAGTTCCTGTAGTGACATGTATGTAAACAATATAAATATAGTTCCTACAGTGACATGTATGTAAACAATATAAATATAGTTCCTACAGTGACATGTATGTAAACAATATAAATATAGTTCCTGCAGTGACATGTATGTAAACAATGTATATATAGTTCCTACAGTGACATGTATGTAAACAGTATAAATATAGTTCCTGCAGTGACATGTATGTAAACAATATAAATATATAGTTCCTGCAGTGACATGTATGTAAACAGTATAAATATAGTTCCTGCAGTGACATGTATATAAACAATGTATATATAGTTCCTGCAGTGACATGTATGTAAACAATGTATATATAGTTCCTGCAGTGATATGTATGTAAACAATGTATATATATTACAGTCATAATATTTAGACTGTTTTTTTTTTGTTACTTTGACTTGATTATACAGGATTCTCTTCACCTATTGCAGTTCATTCAAAATTCTCACACAATTGCAATTTGTTTCATCAAAGCAAACTTTTCAACTGGTCAGAGATTTTAACCAACTGCTATAGAAGAACCACAATCAAGTCATCATAGTGCAAAAGAACATTAATGTGAAGTATGTGAGTTATTGACCCAGTTTACACATCAATAACCTATAGAACTTATATTTTACAACCCAAACATTTGCAATTCTTAATAAGCATTTTTTTTGTCATTTGTGGCTTCTATTTACTATCAATTCCAAAATTGAAATCTAAAAATTTTTCTATTACAGCAAGAGAATAAAAAGTTATACAACACCTTCCTCATAAACTTCATTTTTACAATATATTATCCAAATTTGAAGCAAACAAGTAAAGTAATAACCTTTAGCTTTAGAGTTTTCATTTCATTCATGAAATTTCACAGAATTTTATTCTATTTAAATCTTCCACATTTTTCCATCAAAACTTTCCAGCACTAAGTTAAACATCACAATGATTCAACCAATAAGTTATTCTTTCATCAATGACTTCCAACTTCAATTAACAACCATTACATTGCAGCAAAAGTAAATAAACTGCTTCGCTGAGTGCAGCTGGATACGCCCACAGAGGTCCAACCCTGAACAGTTGGGGCAAAAATGGATACAATATTCAAGCTTGATACAGGTCTGAATTTGGATTGTAATTAAATATTTGACATATTACAGGTTTCTGAATAAATGTAGTCAAAGAACTTGAAATTGGTTATATGAATTGAATTTATATTCAATTAAAGATTTCTTGCTGTTGTGCAATACACTGTGCTGTTGCGCAATACTTAGTAAATCTGTTGTCAGACTATAAACAAATAAAGTTCAATTAATTCTCAATGTCATATTAGAAATTTATGAAAATCAAAAGGGAGCTTACATCAATAGATATAAACAATTCACCAAAGTTTCATGGGAATTGCTGACAGCATTTTTGAGTTATTGTCCGAAAACTGGAAATTCCCCCCTTTTTTAATGAATAAAACCCCATAACTCAGAAATGTAAAATGTAAAATTTATAAAATTCTAAAGGGAGCTTACTTAAATAGATATAAACAATTCACCATAGTTTCATAAGAACTGCTGTAAGCATTTTTGAGTTTTTGTCAGAAAACTGGAAAATCCCCCTTTTTTATGAATAAAAAACCCTGTAACTCGGAAACGTGAAATCTAAAATTTATTAAAATTCAAAGGGAGCTCATGTCAATAGATATAAACAATTCACCACAATTTCTTGAAAGTTGATGAAAGCATTCTTGAGTTATTGTCTGAAAACTGGAAAATCCCCCTTTTTTTAATGATAAAACCCCATAAGTCAGAAACGTAAAATTTTAAATTTATAAAAAACGAAAGGGAGCTCACGTCAATAGATATAAACAATTCACCAAAGTTTTATGCAAATTGGTTAAAGCGTTTTTGAGTTAGTGTCCGACATGTTGACGACGGACGGACAGACGGACGGACGGACGGACAGACGGACAACAGTATACCATAATACGTCCCGTAAACGGGCGTATAAAAAGCTTGGCTCTTTGCATTAGAGAAGAAATGTCACTATCTTTCAGCAATTATGGAAACCCAGTTAACCATTAATACTTACTTTACTGAAGAAGTCACAAATTTCCTGTGTTGGGTGGTTATTCTCCAGTAATGGTGCCAAGGCAACAATAATGTTTTCATGAGCAACTCTCGTGATGAAGTCTGCATTCTGTGAGAAAAAAACAAATATATGTTAGGTGAAAATAAATGGAGAATGTGTCTATGGGCTACAGATGCCCCAGCTTGTAAATATGCATGAGTCAACTTCAACATAAAAATGCAGGATTCACATAGTTAAGACCATTTTGTTATTATAAGCATTGTGTATAAGTTTCATAACATTTGGTTGAGGCAAACTTAAATTAAAGAACAGAAATGAAAAATTCAGCAATTTTTATGTTTATAAAGGGGCATAACTCATGAACAGTAAAAGTGACGCCACCAATTTCCACACTTGATCTGTGTTTTGTGGTAATAAGCATTGTGTATAAGTTTCATAGCATTTGGTTGAGGCAAACTAAAGTTAGAGATCGGTAACGAAAAATTCAGCAATTTTTCCCTTTGTAAAGGGGCATAACTCTAGAACGGTTAAAGTGACACCACCAAAAATTCAAACTTGATCTGTATTTTGTGGTTTTAAGCATTGTGTATAAGTTTCATAGCATTTGGTTTAGGCAAACTAAAGTTAGAGAACGGAAACGAAAAATTCAGCAATTTTTCCATTTGTAAAGGGGCATAAATCTGGAACAGTTAAAGTGACACCACCATAATTCAAACTTGATCTGTATTTTGTGGTAATAAGCATTGTGTATAAGTTTCATAGCATTTGGTTGAGGCAAACTAAAGTTAGAGAACGGAAACGAAAAATTCAGCACTTTTTCTCTCTGTAAAAAGGGAATTACTCTAGAACGGTTAAAGTGACACCACCCAAATTCAATCTTGATCTGTATTTTGTGGTAATAAGCATTGTGTATAAGTTTCATAACATTTGGTTGAGGCAAACTAAAGTTAGAAAACGGAAACGAAAAATTCAGCAATTTTTCCATTTGTAAAGGGGCATAACTCTAGAATGGCTAAAGTGACACCACCAAAATTCAAACTTGATCTGTGTTTAGTGGTAATAAGCATTGTGTTTAAGTTTTATTACATTTGGTTGAGGCAAACTAAAGTTAGAGAACAGAAACCAATTTTGGTGACGTATGCGACAGACAGGATGGACGGACAAGGGTAACACTTAAGTCTGCCTCATATCTTGACTTACATCTAGAAATTGACAATGAGGGTCGGTTGAAAACAAAACTTTACGACAAAAGAGATGATTTCAGCTTCCCAATTGTGAACTTTCCATTTCTATGTAGCAACATTCCAGCAGCGCCTGCATACAGAGTATATATCTCCCAATTGATACGATATTCCCCGGCTTGTATTTCCTATCATGATTTCCTTGATAGAGGATTGCTGCTCACAAGGAAGCTATTAAACCAAGAGTTCCAAATGGTGAAGTTGAAATCATCCCTTCGTAAATTTTACGGACGCCATCACAAGTTGGTTGACTGTTGGAATAACCGTTTGACAGATGCTATTGGATATGTTCCTTATGTCGTAACTACAATACCCTTCCCTTTTCACGAATTTGACCTACCAAATTAGACTATTTATTGGATTTGTAATAACATCAGCAACACGACGGGTGTCACATGTGGAGCAGGATCTGCTTATCCTTCCGGAGCACCTGAGATCACCCCCAGTTTTTGGTGGGGTTCGTGTTGCTTAGTCTTTAGTTTTCTATGTTGTGTCATCTGTACTATTATTTGTCTGTTTGTCTTTTTATTTTTGGCCATGGCGTTGTCAATTTGTTTTCGATCTATGAGTTTGACTGTCCCTTTGGTATCTTTCGTCCCTCTTTTAATGCACCCTTTGCCACGAGGGAGCATAAAAACCTGAAAATGAGTCCCCATTTTTTCAATAAAAAAGATGACCAGTCCTTAGAGACACAGAAGGGCAATTACCAAAGCACTGAATTTCTCACTTTAATTTACTTATAAACTCAACCATTAAATATAAATCTTCTTTCCTGGAGGTGTTATCATTTATCAGCAAAAGCTACATTCTTTGGTCATTAAACCATACTAAACAGACTACCTTACGGGAAAGACTTTTTATGGCAGTCAGCCTTGATTAAAATTCTATTATGATGGATTAAAAATATAAGCAATAAAAATATCCTTTTTCAGCTAAAACATCTGGTAAATTTCCATCACCAGTGACATAATATAATTATTTATCACAAACATGTAAAATGAATACAGTGGGTGACTTATCAGTCTATAGTTGCACACATGACCTTAAATGGATCAGAGACTGACTGTGCACATTAACTATAGGTGTTTAATATGAACCTGTCCCAAGTCAGGAGGAGCCTGTAATTTAGTGGTTGTTGTACTACTACTAAGGGGTGTTTAACAACCTTGACTACCCATGAGGGTCTCACACGGTCGGCTGGTGGTTTGTTATTTTCCTGTATATCATATTTGTTTTTCATTTACTGTTTTGTACATAAATCAGGCCATTAGTTTTCTCCTTTGTATTGTTTTACATTTGTCATGTCAAGGTCTTTTATCATGTTTAAAGCTTTCTTAGCAGTATGGGTATAGCTTATCCTTGAAGGCCATAAAGTGACCTATGGTTGCTAACTTTAAGGTCATTTGGTAATCATAAGTGAAATTAATAAGTATGTTATGGTCAATCTAATTAGAATATCATCAGTGATTTCAATATGCTTAAATGATGGAAAGTTGTATCATTGGCAATCATACCACATCTTCTTCTTACTATATTAAAGCCATGTGAAACTTCAAATTTAAAAAATAAAAATAAAATGCTTAGCCGAGCGCAGCCTGATACGACCGCAGAAGTCAAACCCTGAACAGATTGGGCAAGTTTGGACACAATATTCAAGCTTGATACTGTCTGAATTTGGATTGTGATCAAATTTTTGACATTATATAGGTTTCTGACACAAAATAAATGTGGTCAAAGATCTTTAAAATTTGAAATGGGACATTTATTTTACCTAGTATGGTCTGATATCCAAAATCTAACAACATGGTTAGAATCAGCATATAATAAAATACAAAAAAAATCTGATTTTAGTTGAAATCAAACAAAGTTTAATTTTGGACACTTCAAACCTTAATATGGACTAATTTGAAAACAGGGCCCAAATTAAAAAATCTAAATGAACAATGAGATTCAGCATATCATAGAGCCGCAATAATTCAGTTTTTGATGAAATCAAACAAAGTTAAATGTTAGACCCTTTGGAACCTTGTAGTACAATTTCAGAGAGATCCATACACTTAAACACAAGTTATAGTCTGGAAACTAGAAAAAAGCTTGTTTTTTGCCCCTTTTTTGCCCCTAATTCCTGAACATTTGGGGCAATTACCCCCAAACTCAATCCAAGCCTTCCCTTTGTGATATGGAACCTTGTGGTACAATTTCAGAGAGATCCATACACTTAAACGAAAAATTCAGCAATTTCTATGTTTATAGAGGGACATAACTCAAGAATGGTAAAAGTGTTGCCACCAAATTTCATACTTTATCTGTATTATGTAGGAATAGGCATTGTATATAAGTTTCATAACATTTGGTTGAGGCAAACTAAAGTTAGAAATGGAAACAAAAAATTTGTACTTGATCTTAGTTTTGTTGGAATGAATATTGTGTATAGGTTTCATAATGTTTGGTATAGGCAAACTTAAGTTACAGAATAGAAACTAAAAATTTAGCAATCTTTCAATTTATAAAGGGGCATGACTCAATAATGGTTAAAGTGACACTACCCAAATTCAACTTGATCTGTGTTTTATCAGTGGAAGTCAAAATTAAACATTGCATTGCATAAAGCATTGATTGTAGTTGATTCAACTATAATCATGGACAAAGGAAGATAACTCCAATTTAAATAAACTGCTTCGCTGAGCGCAGCTGGATACGCCCGCAGAGGTCCAACCCTGAACAGTTGGGGCAAAATTGGACACAATATTCAAGCTTGATACAGGTCTGAATTTGGATTGTAATTAAATATTTGACATATTATAGGTTTCTGAATAAATGTAGTCGAAGAACTTGAAATTGGTTATATGAATTGAATTTATATTCAATTAAAGATTTCTTGCTGTTGTGCAATACACTATGCTGTTGCGCATTACTTAGTAAATCTGTTGTCAGACTATAAACAAATAAAATTTATAAAATTCTAAAGGGAGCTTACATCAATAGATATAAACAATTCACCAAAGTTTCATAAGAATTGCTGAAAGCATTTTGGAGTTTTTGTCTGAAAACTGGAAAATCCCCCCTTTTTTAATGAATAAAACCCCATAACTCGGAAATGTAAAATCTAAAATTAATAAAATTCTAAAGGGAGCTTACATCAACAGATATCAACAATTCATCAAAGTTTCATTAGAACTGCTGAAAGCATTTTTGAGTTATTGTCGGAAAACTGGAAAATCCTCCTTTTTTTATGAATAAAACCCTGTAACTTGGAAACGTAAAATCTAAAATTTATAAAAATCAAATGGGAGCTCATTTCAATAGATATAAACAATTAAACAAAATTTCTTGCAAGTTGGTGAAAGCATTCTTGAGTTATTGTCAGAAAACTGGAAAATCCCCCTTTTTTAATGAATAAAACCCCATAACTCGGAAATGTAAAATCTAAAATTTATAAAATTCTAAAGGGAGCTTACATCAATAGATATCAACAATTCATCAAAGTTTCATGAGAACTGCTGAAAGCATTTTTGAGTTAATGTCTGAAAACTGGAAAATCCCTCTTTTTTTTATGAATAAAACCCCATAACTTGGAAACGTAAAATCTAAAATTTATAAAAATCAAAAGGGAAATCATGTCAATAGATATAAACAATTAACCAAAATTTCTTGCAAGTTGGTGAAAGCAATCTTGAGTTATTGTCAGAAAACTGGAAAATCCCCCTTTTTTTAATGAATAAAACCCCATAACTCGGAAACGCAAAATCTAAAATTTATAAAAAACGAAAGGGAGCTCACATCAATAGATATAAACAATTCACCAAAGTTTTATGCAAATTGGTTAAAGCGTTTTTGAGTTAATGTCCGACATGTGGACGACGGACGGACAGACGGACGGACAGACGGACGGACGGACAGACGGACAACGGTATACCATAATACGTCCCGTAAACGGGCGTATAAAAATTACTTGATATTTAGAAGAAAATAAAAATTTTGCAATTTATAACGGTTAAAGTGACACCACCAAAATTCAAACTTGATCTGTGTTTTGTGGTAATAAGCATTGTGTATAAGTTCCATAACATTTGGTTGAGGCAAACTCAAGTTAGAGAACGGAAACCAATTTTGAGACGTACGGACTGACGTACATAAGTACGTACAGGCGGACAAGGGTAAAACTTAATGGCCCCACCCCTACGGTGAGGGCATAAAAGAATGTACATATAGGACTTAGAATAGTTAATATGTATGCGTTGGTTCAATAACTTCGATAAACATTGAAATTACAAGAAACTCGTTTCATATGACTTTAACTATTGTTGTTTCAAATCGTTTAACTAAATTTCTTAACCTAAATTCCTCATTTTAAATAGAATTTATGCTCTCACCACATCAAAACTTATAAGAACTGTCAACAGGCCGAACCAAACCCTCCTCAAACAGTTAACAACCAAATGAAGAAAAGATGAGAAAAGGGAACATGTGTAACCCCCACTGTGCTGTTACATCTCTTTCCCTGGTTAAGGCGATGTAAAGCGCCTACAAACATGTTTAATACATTTTGTTATATTCTTAATGTGCATCTCCCAATTCTGCCTGTAATATAGTGGTTGTCGTTGGTTGCCATCTGTCATATTTGTTTTCATTAATTGTTTTTGACATGAATTAGGCCATTGATTTTCTTGTATGAATTGTTTCACATTTTGTAATGGTGCCTTTTGTATCTTACTATACATATGCTCATTTTGAAGGCCATACAGTGCACTATAGTTGCTTACATCCTAGTCCTTTAGACACTGCTGGAGTCTCATTGGCAATCATACCAGTCCTCAATTTTTTCCTAGCTATCCAGGTAAAGGATCTTCTCTGCAGTGTTAGAATCAGACCATAAATGACCAGAAATCATTCACAGTAATCAAATGCACTTATTTCTTGTTTGGGGAACTTAAAAATGCTGTTTTTAATCAATATTCTATTCATGAAATAAAAGATTAAATTACTTCAGAAGAAATGCTGAAGATTCCATCTTAATTTTAATACAAACTAAAACCTTCAAAATCAATCAAATTTGTATATGCATGCCATGCATTTAATATGGGGAAAGTATAAAATGCTGAAACTTAATTTTTAATATCTCAAATTGTGTCAATACAATGACTTCAGGGTTAATAATACATTCCTTGTTATTGTCAACCTAGTGTCCCCTGGATCAATATATAAACATATAGATAATCAAATGTTTTACCATTTATATAATAACCATGTTTTTCAAACTTTCGACAACATTCAATAACAAAGAAGCTACCGATTCCACATATATTTACATTTGATTCAAAACATACACCATTTTTGATAGTTTTTGGCTGTCCAGCTATACCAGTGATCAGAGGATGATGGGTAATTCTTAGATCAACAGTAATTACGTAATTTTTCCCACACTGTACATTTTGTAATCAATCAACAGAGCTATTTTCTGTATGGCATGTAATATCCAGTATTTCATAAATTAAATAAAATGCTTAATTGCATGCCAAACAATCATACTTCAAAGATCTATAACATTTTTGTAAGATATGGAGCTCTTGTTGTAAACTATCAACATTTTTTCATATTTGTAGCATATGCATGTATTGTTCCCAACAACACAAGATTTTTTTCTTTTTACAAGGAAATAATTTCACAGACAAACTTGTCCAAGTGAAAGTATAAAAGATGAATGGATGAATGGATGAATGAATGAATGTTTGATGTCCAACACTAGGCCTGTTGTGTACTAAATTAACACACTCAGCCCTTTTTTTATATACCAGCTCACAGAGCAACAGTCCATAGGAATGTATATCACTTCAAATGTACCCATTATTCTAATGATGAGGAAAGCAGTCTTTGCTTTTATTCCTCAATACTGCATGCTTAGTACAAAAGCAGCTAATACAAATTTGGAAGTCTTATTGTATTGAACAGGAAGCTAGATCAAACCAACAACCTTTCTCATACTACATGTACCACGTGATGGAAGCTAGGAGATCAAACTAACAACCTTTCGCATACGACATGTACCATGTGATGGAAGCTAGGAGATCTAACCAACAACCTTTCACATACTACATGTACCACGTGATGGAAGCTAGATCAAACCAACAACCTTTCTATTACTACATGTACCACGTGATGGAAGCTAGGAAATCAAACCAACAACCTTTCTCATACTACATGTACCATGTGATGGAAGCTAGGAGATCAAACCAACAACCTTTCTCATACTACATGTACCACGTGATGGAAGCTGGGAGATCAAACCAACAACCTTTCACATACTACATGTACCGACTGATGGAAGCTGGGAGATTAAACCAACAACCTTTTTTCATACTACATGTACCACTTGATGGAAGCTAGGAGATCAAACCAACAACCTTTTGCATACTACATGTACCATGTGATGGAAACTAGGAGATCAAACCAACAACCTTTCGCATAATACATGTACCACGTGATGGAAGCTAGGAGATCAAACCAACAACCTTTCTCATACTACATGTACCACGTGATGGAAGCTAGGAGATCAAACCAACAACCTTTCGCATACCAGTACTACATGTACCATGTGATGGAGGCTAGGAGATCAAACCAACAACCTTTCTCATACTACATGTACCACGTGATGGAAGCTAGGAGATCAAACCAACAACCTTTCTCATACTACATGTACCACGTGATGGAAGCTAGGAGATCAAACCAACAACCTTTCGCATACCTGTACTACATGTACCACGTGATGGAAGCTAGGAGATCAAACCAACAACCTTTCGCATACTACATGTACCACGTGATGGAAGCTGGGAGATCAAACCAACAACCTTTCTCTTACTACATGTACCACGTGACGGAAGCTGGGAGATCGAACCAACAACCTTTCACATACTACATGTACCACGTGATGGAAGCTCGGAGATCGAACCAACAACCTTTCACATACTACATGTACCACGTGATGGAAGCTGGGAGATTGAACCAACAACCTTTCTCTTACTACATGTACCACGTGACGGAAGCTGGGAGATCGAACCAACAACCTTTCACATACTACATGTACCACGTGATGGAAGCTCGGAGATCGAACCAACAACCTTTCACATACTACATGTACCACGTGATGGAAGCTGGGAGATTGAACCAACAACCTTTCTCATACTACATGTACCATGTGATGGAAGCTAGGAGATCAAACCAACAAACTTTCACATACTACATGTACCACGTGATGGAAGCTAGGAGATCAAACCAACAACCTTGATCATACTACATGTACCAAGTGATGGAAGCTAGATCAAACCAACAACCTTTTTCATACTACATGAAAGGTTGACATAAGTAAAAATAGAAAGTGAAAGTAAGAATAGTCATAGGTTTTAGGTAACTGAAAAGGGATTTCAAAATGAGATAATGACTTCAAGTTAACATTGTATAACTACAAGGAATAACAATAATGGAATTATAAATAACAAAGTGAGTAGGATGATTGGAAATAATTAAGTCTTTGGAACTTCCATTGTCATTGGAAAATTGGTTATTTGATTTAAAACTAATACAAAAAGGATTGATGAATAATTGTTTGTCTGATGTTTCAGGAAGAGGCTCATGTTTTCATTGAGTACATATACTGACCTGCTGTAACAGATCTGAGACCAGATCTAAAGGAAACTGGTAGATACTGGCATCCTGTATATTTGTAGTTAAAGATACATCAATCATATTCTGAAAGGAAAAATTATAATGTTATACTTCTGTCCTCCTTCCAATAAAAAAATTGAAAAATAAATGAAGAATGTGTCCCCATGGACACAGATGATGCCACCGCTTGCATACAACATTATAAAGGGACATTACTCAAGAACAACAAGCATTCTTTGAGTATTGCATGGCAATACATAGTCCCCTGCCTGTTAAAAATTCATTGTATTGGAACAAAAATTCTAACTTGATCTATAACTTGTCATGGTGTAAACTATATAACAAATATCAAGTCAATATCTTCAAGCATGACAAAAAAAAGCGTTGAAAACTGATTATTTAAGTGAATTTTCTAAGTCCAAGGACCATAACTCTGTACAAAATCATCACACTGGAACAAAATTCAAACTTGAACTGTAACTTGTCATGATAAAACTATATACTAATTATCAAATCAATATCTTCAAGAATGACAAAAAAAAGTGCGGAATACTGATTATTTTAGTGAATTTTCTAAGTCAAAGGACCATTATTCTGCACAAAATCATCGGACCCAAACAAAATTCAAACTTGATCTGTAACTTGTCATGACAAAACAATACACCAAATATCAAATCAATGTCTTCAAGCATGAAGAAAAAAAGTGTGGACGGACGGAGTGCAAACCTAAAGTCCCCTTTGACTTCGTCGGTATTGCACTTGTAAAAGTGACGCTACCCAAATTTGTACTTGATCTGAGTTTTGTGGTAATACATGTAAGTATTGTGTAAAGGTTTCATAATGTTTGGTTGGGGCCAATTTAAGTTGCAGAACGAAAACTAAAAATTTTGCAATTTTTCGATTTATAAAGGGGCATAACTCGATAATGATTAAAGTGACGCAACCAAAATTCAACTTGATCTGTGTTTTGTGGTAAAAAGCATTGTGTATAAGTTTCATAACATTTGGTTGAGGCAAACTTGTTAGAGAACGGAAACTAAAAATTTGCATTTTTTTCCATTTATAAAGGGGCATTTCTGGAGAATGGTTAAAGTGACCTGACCAAAATTCATACTTGATCTTTATTTTGTTGTAATAAGCATTGTGTATAAGTTTCATAACATTTGGTTGAGGCAAACTTAAGTTAGAGAACGGAAACTAAAACTTTTGCAATTTTTCCATTTATAAAGGGGCATAACTCTAGTAGGTTAAAGTGACGCCACCAAATTTCAAACTTGATCAGTGTTTTGAGGTAATAAGCATTGTGTATAAGTTTCATAACATTTGGTTGAGGCAAACTTAAGTTAGAGAACGGAAAGTAAAATTTTTGAAATTTTTCTATTTATAAAGGGGCATAACTCTAGAATGGTTAAAGTGACGCCACCAAAATTCAAACTTGATCTGTGTTTTGTGGTAATAAGCATTGTGTATAGGTTTCATAACATTTGGTTGAGGCAAACTCAAGTTAGAGAATGGAAACCAATTTTGGGACGTATATACAAGGGTAAAACTTAATGCCCCCACCGCAACAGCGGGTGCATAAAAATTTTATAGAGATCCATTCACTTAAACTAAAGTTATTGTTCGGAAATCAAATGTGTTTTCTGTTGACGACGATGCAAAGGATGATGACATCATAGCACTATATGAACCTATACTAAATTTTGCAGTCTTATATAAATTGCTATTCAAAAGATAATGGAAAATTAAATGCATACTTTAAATTTAAATTTGCTTTCAAAATTTCCAATGGACTTTGCAACCATAAAAGCCCATAGTTATTGTCCGAAAACTGGAAAATCTATGAATAAAACCCTGTAACTTGGAAACGTAAAATCTAAAATTTATAAAAATCGAAAAGGAGCTCATGTCAATAGATATAAACAATTCACCAAAATTTCTTGCAAGTTGGTTAAAGCTTTTTTGAGTTAATGTCCGACATGTTGACGACGGACGGAGGGACAGATGGACAGACGGACAACGGTATACCATAATACGTCCCGTAAACGGGCGTATAAAAACCGTAAACATTTTCTACTGACTTTTGAGCTCTTTATATATATATTTAACTAAAATTCAGTACAATGTCTTGCATTTCAATATGTACACAAATCAATTTTCCTATGTAGTAAATATCATTTCTACTGGGAAATCTTTGGTATATGTTTTAATACTTTCAATCTAATTTTGCCTTTCGTACACTAATCTAACTGAAACAGTATCCAGACAACAACTCATCAAATGCCACAACAAGATGGCATTAACCATTTAATCTCATAATAATTTTCAGTAACCAAAATACCGATGCCAAATTAAGAAGGGCTTATCAAATTATAATAAAATGCTCCGCAGGGCGCAGCTTGATACGACCGCAGAGGTCGAACCCTGAACAGTTGGGGCAAGTATGGACACAACATTCAAGCTTGATACAGCTTTGCATTTGGATTGTGATTAAATATTTGACACAGCATAGGTTTCTGACACAGAATGAATGTGGTCTAAGAACTTAAAAATTTTAAATTGGACATTCACCTATTATGGTCCAATATCCAAAATCTAAATACATGGTTAGATTCAGCAAAGAACCCCAAGAATTCAGTTTTTGATGAAATCAAACAAAGTTTAATTTTGGACCCTTTTGACCTCAATGTGGACAAAGTTGATAACGGGGCCCAAAAATCAAAAATCTAAATACATGGTTAGATTCAGCATATCAAAGAACCCCTATATATTCAATTTTTGTTGAAATCAAACAAAGTTTAATTTTGGACCCCGATTTGGACCAACTTGAAAACTGGGCCCATAATCAAAAATCTAAATACATGTTTAGATTCAGCATATCAAAGAACCCTAAGAATTCAATTTTTGTTAAAATCAAACTAAGTTTAATTTTGGACCCTTTGGACCTTAATGTAGACCAATTTGAAAACGGAACCAAAAATTAAGAATCTAAATACACGGTTAGATTTGGCATATCAAAGAACCCCAATAATTCAATTTTTGATGAAATCAAACAAAGTTTAATTTTGGACCCTTTGGACCTCAATGTGGACCAAATTAAAAAACGGGGCCCAAAATCAAAAAACTAAATACACGGTTAGATTCAGCATATTAAAGAACCCCAAGAATTCAAGAATAAAACCCCATTGAAATTGGTCAAGAAATAAGCAATTTATACGAAGTATCTTCTTTTGCACAATACTGTGCAATTAAATATTTCTTGCTATTGCGCAATACTGTACAATTGACAATTTCTTGCTATTGCGCAATATTGTGCTATTGGATATTTCTTGCTATTGCGCAATACTGTGCAATTGAAGATTTCTTGCTATTGCGCAATACTGTGCAATTGAAGATTTCTTGCTATTGTGCAATACTGTGCAATTGAAAATTTCTTGCTATTGCACAATACTTATTATATAATAATTTACACATCCTGTTTGGTGTGTATCTCCTACCATATCATTATCATTTGCTTTAAAATATAAATCAGAAATAACCAACTTAAAATGGAAAATTTTAAAAGAAAAAAAAAGGAAAAAAAAAAATCCCCCGCCCCAAATTTTTTGAACCCCCTTATGATTCATCACCCCCAAACTCAATCCCAGCCTTCCCTTTGTGGTATGGTACCTTGCAGTACAATTTCAGAGAGATCCATACACTTGAACACAAGTTATTGTCTGGAAACTAGAAAAATGTGTTTTTTGGCTCCTTTTTGGCCCCTAATTCCTAAATGTTTAGGGCAATTACACCCAAACTCAAACCCAGCTTTCCCTTTGTGATATGGAACCTTGTAGTACAATTTCAGAAAGATCCATACACTTACACACAAGTTATTGTCCTGAAACTAGAAAAATGCTTGTTTTTTGCCCCTTTTTGGCCCCTAATTCCTAAAATATTGAGGCAATTAACCCCAAAATCAATCCCAGCCTTCCCTTTGTGGTATGGTACCTTGCAGTACAATTTCAGAGAGATCCATACACTTGAACACAAGTTATTGTCTGGAAACTAGAAAAATGCTTATTTTTGGCCCCTTTTTTGGCCCCCAATTCCTAAACGTTTCGGCAATTACCCCCAAACTCAATTCCAGCTTTCCCTTTGTGATATGGAACCTTGTAGTACAATTTCAGAAACATCCATACACTTACACACAAGTTATTGTCATGAAACTAGAAAAATGCTTGTTTTTTGCCCTTAATTCCTAAAATTTTGAGACAATTACCCCCAAAATCAATCCCAGCATTCCTTTTGTGATATGGAACCTTGTGGTACAATGTCAGAGATATCCATACACTAACACACAAGTTATGTCTGGAAGTTACAAAAATGCTTATTTTTGGCCCCTTTTTGGCCCTTAATTCCTTTCCTGTTGGTACCATAACCCCCAAAATCAATCCCAACCTTCCTTTTGTGGTATTGAACCTTGTGGTAAAATTTCATAGAGATCCATTCACTTAAACTAAAGTTAGAGTGCGAAAACCAATGTGTCTTCGGACGACGCTGGACGACGCCAGACGACGACGACGATGACGACGCCAACGTCATACAAATATACGACCACAAAAATTTTTTTGCGGTCGTATAAAAATCTGTCAATGATGATCCAAAGCAGTAATAATTTTTAGTTTTCTTCACAAACATACAATAGTTGAAAAATCCTCCGTGTAATGAACTGTTCCTGCATGACAAGCTTCACATCTATGTATTGATCACATATTGAAATATAATGAGATTTATAGGCAGAGCCTCTATACTTAATTCTTAAAATAAAAAAGACCAACACATATTCGTTTTACCATATAGGTAACCATGTTCCAAATAGTGTGACAAGGACACAGCAACTTGTGAAGGAAACATGATATACAGATTAAAAAAAAGCTGACTATTTATGATTAGTTGTTATATCATTAACATAATTTTCTCCTGGATTCTATTATGGATCAGGTTTCATGCAAGCACACATTTTAATTCCATATTATCACATTATAAATCCTCTTTTAATTCCTTCACCTTCATAAATTCTTAAAAATCCCTTCTCAAGTTCTGTCTTTAGCTTAAAGAATATGGGCCTTATTCAAAATTTTTGCAGATATCCTTTAAAAACAACAACAAAATCAAAAGGACAAAGTTTTGATTTAGATTTTCACTTATTGCTTTACATAAAGAAAAGCATCTCATTAGATGTTATTAAGTTAATCTTTAAAAACAGGATTGTTTTCTGAACATAATTAAGTTTCATAACGACATATATAAACCTTCCATCAGACAATATTTATTACTCAAGAAGATTATTTCTTCAGCAAATATCTATAATATCCTTTTAACATCTTTCTTCACCTGATAATTTATACAAAAGTCCATACGCCTACTTTACTGATCATGATTGAATATTATGTTGAAAGTCTTTAAAATCAAGGTCTTTATATACTTAAGTAAAGATATAACTAAAACTTAAGTTTGACAAATAAACCATGAAATGGTATCAAGGATAGATGACTGTCATACTGAAATGCACACCTTACAATCATTTTATATACCAAATATAGTTGCGCTATCAATAAACTAGAGGCTCTAAAGAGCCTGTGTCGCTCACCTTGGTCTATGTGCATATTAAACAAAGGACACAGATGGATTCATGACAAAATTGTGTTTTGGTGAAGATGATGTGTTTGTAGATCTTACTTTACTGAACATTCTTGCTCCTTACTATTATCTCTATCTATAATGAACTTGGCCCAGTAGTTACAGTGGAAAATATTTTGTAAAAAATTACAAAAATTTACAAAATTTATGAAAATTGTAAAAAATTGACTATAAAGGGCAATAACTCCTTAAGGGGTCAATTGACAATTTCGGTCATGTTGAATTATTTGTAGATCTTACTTTGCTGTACATTATTGCTGTTTACAGTTTATCTCTATCAATAATAATATTCAAGATAATAACCAAAAGCTGCAAAATTTTCTTAAAATTACCAATTCAGGGGCAGCAACCCCACAACGTGTTGCCTGATTGGTCTGATCAGGGCACATAGATCTTGGCCTAATGAACAATATTATCCTGTCAGATTTGCTCTAAATGCTTTGGTTTCAGAGATATGAGCCAAAAACTGCATTTTACCCTATGTACTATTTTTTAGCCATGTTGGCCATCTTGGTTCACGGGTGGGGTCATCAGACACATTTTTTAAACTAGATACTCTAATGATGATTGTGGACAAGTTTGGTTAAATTTGTCTTAGTAGTTTCAGAGAAGAAGATTTTTGTAAAAGATTACAAAAATTTACGAAAAATGGTTAAAAATTGACTATAAAGGGCAATAACTCCTTAAGGGATCAACTGACCATTTTGGTCAAGTTGACTTATTTGTAGATCTTACTTTGCTGAACATTATTGCTGTTTACAGGTTATCTCTATCTATAATAATATTCAAGATAATAACCAAAAACGGCAAAATTTCCTTAAAATCACCAATTCAGGGGCAGCAACCCAACAACGGGTTGTTCGATTCATCTGAAAATTTCAGGGCAGATAGATCTTGACCTGATAAACAATTTAACCCCCATGTCAGATTTGCTCTAAATGCTTTGGTTTCAGTGATATAAGCCAAAATCTACATTTTACCCCTATGTTCTATTTTTAGCCATGGTGGCCATCTTGGTTGGTTGGCCGGGTCACCGTACACATTTTTTAAACTAGATACCCCAATGATGGTTGTGGCCAAGTTTGGTTAAATTTTGCCAAGTAGTTTCAGAGGAGAAGATTTTTGTAAAAGTTAACGGACGACGGACGACGACGGACGACGGACGCCAAGTGATGAGAAAAGCTCACTTGGCCCTTTGAGCCAGGTGAGCTAAAAATGGACCTATAATCAGGAAAACTGAAAACTTAACTTTGATCACTCAATCCATAAAATGAGGTGAAGGTCAGATGAACCCTGCCTAATGACATCTAGACATTACAATGTTTTTCCAACAGAATATAGTTGACCAGTTACTTACATAGTTTTTAAAGGGGTCATTTAAGGATGTTGTCAAGTGAAATTTAAAATAAAATGCTCCGCTGGGGCGCAGCTTGATACGACCGCAGAGGTCGAACCCTGAACAGTTGGGGCAAGTATGGACACAACATTCAAGCTTGATACAGCACTGAATTTGGATTGTAATTAAATATTTGACACAGCATAGGTTTCTGACACAGAATGAAAGTGGTCTAAGAACTTAAAAATTTTCAATTTACCTATTCATACATGTGATGGACTGTGAAACTCAGATCAGGAGATTGGGAAATTTTGGTCAGGAGATTAGGACTCAGATCAGGAGGTTTTTAATCGACATTAATTTTGTTGTAAATGTAACCGTGTGCTGTAAAAATGGTCTTTTAAAGTGTGTTTTCTTCAACTTTTTAACCAATTTATTATGTTTATAGTACCCTTGTACTTATAAAGTTTCTCCATCTTTATATTCTACATGTTCAATCTAACATTGTTTTTTTCCAGTATGTTCTTTAAATTTTTACTTCATATTCTATAAAACAATCATTGCAACCAGAACATTTGTTTAGCTGTCTGCAAATAGTTTTTTTTTAATTTTTTTTCTCTTGCAAATAGTTTTTATTTGCAAACTCAGAAATTCATTCTATCTGTAAAGTTAGGGTCATAGTTATTATATAAATTTCAATTTAAGCCTTAAAAGGAAGTATAGAATCCTCAAATAATTTTCAAATTATTATTTTTTTATTTGTCCTAAGACATTTAAAATCATTTAATAACCATCCTTTTATGATTATTTGTTCAATTTATATTTTATTTATATTCTTTTAAAAATTTTCATTATTAAAAGGAAAGTAACTTAAAACAGGATAAATCAAGGGAAGTAACCCAATAAATACACAGTTTTTGTTACACAACGGCAGTTAGCCTGAGGTAAAAATCGTTGCTTACCAGTATGTTTGACACCCAAGCTGACAAGTGAAGCCATATAATTATGCATGTTAATTGATTTACAGGTAAAATATAACTTCAGGTAATGTCAGTTACACCAGATGCCTGAGATGTTATGTTGGGCAGAAATTTTTCATTCATGAAAAATTTCATACACGGGATTTTTTCAACGGGAGGGGGGAGGAGACCCCTGAAAACGGGATTATTGTACTCCCGTCGGGAGGTTCACATGTATGCCTATTCAAACCATATCATTATTATTTGCTTTTATATATAAATCAGAAATAACCAATTTAAAATGGAAAATGTTAAAGAAAAAAAAGGAAAAAAAAAACCCCCCCCCCCAATTTTTTGAACCCCCTTATGATTCATCGCCCCCAAACTCAATCCCAGCTTTCCCTTTGTGGTATGGTACCTTGCAGTACAATTTCAGAGAGATTCATACACTTGAACACAAGTTATTGTCTGGAAACTAGAAAAATGCTTGTTTTTTGGCCCCTTTTTGGCCCCAAATTCCTAAACGTTTAGGGCAATTACCCCCAAACTCAATTCCAGCTTTCCCTTTGTGATATGGAACCTTGCAGTACAATTTCATAAAGATCCATACACTTACACACAAGTTATTGTCCTGAAACTAGAAAAATGCATGTTTTTTTTGCCCTTTTATGGCCCCTAATTACTAAAATTTTGAGGGAAAACCCCCAAAATCAATCCCAGCCTTCCCTTTGTGATATGGAACCTTGTAGTACAATTTCATAAAGATCCATACACTTACAAACAAGTTATTGTCATGAAACTAGAAAAATGCTTGTTTTTTGCCCCTTTTTTGCCCCTAATTCCTAATATTTGGAGGAAATTACCCAAAAAATCAATCCCAGTATTCCCTTTGTGATATGGAACCTTGTAGTACAATTTCATAAAGATCCATACACTTACAAACAAGTTATTGTCATGAAACTAGAAAAATGCTTGTTTTTTGCCCCTTTTTGGCCCCTAATTCCTAAAATTTGGAGACAATTACCCCCAAATCAATCCCAGCATTCCCTTTGTGATATGGAACCTTGTGGTACAATGTCAGAGAGATCCATACACTAACACACAAGTTATGTCTGGAAGTTACAAAAATGCTTATTTTTGGCCCCTTTTGGCCCCTAATTCCTTAACTGTTAGTACCATAACCCCCAAAATCAATCCCCACCTTCCTTTTGTGGTATTGAACCTTATGGTAAAATTTCAATGAGATCCATTCACTTAAACTAAAGTTAGAGTGCGAAAACTAATGTGTATTCGGACGACGACGCCGGACGACGACGACGACGACGACGACGACGACGCCAACGTCATACCAATATACGACCACAAAAATTTTTTTGCGGTCGTATAAAAAATCTGGAATTAAGAAATTGATACTATAAATCAGAAGAGCATTAGTTAAGGAACAAAATAAGCTAAAATATTGATAGGTTATGGAACTCCCTTTCGAGATATTTTGATTTTGAAAAAATGGCAGGAAAAGGCTGACTCAGACTGGAATCTGCTTAAATTTTGGTAATTACTTTTATAAGATATTGAAGTCTTCTATGAAAAGAAAATGGGTGATATAGGGCAAAATATTTTACCCTGTAACGTAGGAAAAAAATCAAGGAATCAGAACATCTGACAAAAAATCCTAAACCTGACAGGACTACAGTCTTAATTATGAAAATAAGGTCTAGGACAACAGACAATCATATGTCAGATGGAAATTTCCTGCTCTCTAACCTTCTGAAATATGAAGCTTTACCTACGTCCAGCATTCTGGAACATTTGCCACAGGCGAGACAAATAAATGAAGGCACTAAATTATACCAATAAAAAAAAAAAAATTGTCAAAGCTATTGATTTTTTAATGACTAGTCAAATAAGTATGATGAAGTGACTTATTTCAATTCCATTTAAAAGCCTCCCTATAACATAGATTTATTATCCATTTAAAAAAATGTATCATTTGGATCAGCTGAATACCATGTGCATCATCCTATAAATATATTATATGGACTTCTTGTTAAATACTCCATGATTTGTAACAAGTTTTGTGTAAATAAACTTCAAGATACCAGGCTAATCTAGTTGCTGTTTGTCATACTAGTACATGTATTTGATTTTGTTTATTACTTTTTGCATAAATTAGGCTGTTGGCTTTCTCTAGTGAATTGTTTCACATTTTACCTTTCCAGGGCCTTTCATAGCTTATTATACAGTATGGGTTTTGCTCATAAATCTCATCAAACTTCAATGAGTAACACTGGCATGAGAAGGCTAATAATGTTGATTTTTCATATTATAAAAATTCTCATCCAATGGGTATAACTCCCTTCAAAGGGTTATAAGTCACTTCCAAGGGTTATAAGTCCCTTCCAAGGACTACAACTCATTTCTAATGGGTATAACTCTTTTCCAAGGGATATAAGCCCCCTTTTAAAAATATTAAATAAGTCCAAGATATTGGTGAAGTTAATCTTCAACAAATATTTCATTTCCTCTTATTATAACTGTCAGTGTGTGAGTACTTACTTACAATGATGATTTTTCCATATCAATAACATTGTCATGGCTCAGGAGGGCCATTTACTATGTTATGTGTGGTAGTGATGAGCCTGAAATAGGTCACTTTTTCCAGCTTCATGATATGTAATAAGGTAGAGAATTTAAGATGAACTATATGACAAAGGGTGGGGTACTCATCATCTCAGCTTCTCAAACCTACCACAAAAAGGTTGAAGTTCATTTATATTACTGGACGTAGATATAATTCAAACTAATATTACAACTGAAATAGTTACATTGATCATAAACATCAAATATTCTCTTAAATGTTAAATCTAATAACGTATTTAACCTAAAATGTGAGAATTGAATTTGTATATCGGTCATGAGATAAATAGATGTTATTATAGACAAGATGACTATTGTAGTAACACATCTATCAAATCACTGACGTCATCAAGGAGATCTATGTAATCACTTTAAGTCACTCTACATCAACAGTAATTATAAATAACCTTATATAAACATTATTTTTCTCATTAAATCTAGTTTACTTCAGATTAAAATGAGGGTAAATGAGCCTGTATGGCTCACAGTGTATCCATGCCCAATGACATGAATTAGATTATATAAAAGGAGGGTAAAATGAGCCTGTGTATGGCTCACAGTGTATCCATGCCCAATAACATGAATTAGATCATAAAAGGAGGGTAAAATGAGCCTGTGTATGGATGCCCAATGACAAGAATTAGCATAATCCTAATCTACTTCTTTAATCAAAGTAATACTGGCCCTTAACATTCAGAAATTCTTTTCTCCTTTTTATAAACTTAAATTTCTGCATTTTCTAATAGGTGGTCAGTCTTTCATTCAGTCCCAAGAAACACAAGAATTTTCATAAAGGAACTCTTGTGTTAACTAGACATACATACAATAAAATTGTATTTATAACTGGGTTTTTTCGATATTTTAATATAAAGCTACTGCCTTTATCTATCTACTTAATCATTTGTACAAACCACTTCCATAAGGCACCAATCATACATGTAAAATCTCCAACAAACTTTACATATCCTTCTTAATAGGCTAATAATTATCCCTAATTAAATAATTTACCCCATTTCCCAACTGGGGCATTAAATGTCCAATAATCAATATTCATAACCACTGGATGATACTTATAATCAGTACTTTTCATGACAAAATGTAAGTGTTTTATTGTATTGTACCCTCAGACAATTAAGATCGTGTAATTATCTAAAGCTTGCTTACTGAATATATAAACCATGCACCAGTCAAATTGTTTTGACTGTATTTACATTATATGATATACAGCCACTGACCATATAAAGCCTTGCTTGCTTACTGAATATATAAACCATGCACCAGTCAAATTGTTTTGACTGTATTTACATTATATGATATACAGCCACTGACCATATAAAGCCTTGCTTGCTTACTGAATATATAAACCATGCACCAGTCAAATTGTTTTGACTGTATTTACATTATATGATATACAGCCACTGACCATATAAAGCCTTGCTCGCTTACTGAATGTATAAACCATGCACCAGTTAAATTATTTTGACTGTATTCACATTATATGATATACAGCCACTGACCATATAAATCCTTGTTTGTGACGGAACAATATATTTCTGTAGATTTTTATTCATGAGGTTACAAAGGAATTCATGTATGGCATTTATACACTATGCTTCAGGTTCAATATTCACCATGGTCACTTTAAACAAATAGTTTTGAGCATTGTAGTACATAGGGAATAATCCTACACCGTCTCAGATATCAAATTTATTTGTACTCGGCACAAACAGGATAGAAATCTTTTCAGCAATTAGCATGACTATTCTGTATCTATCAGAATAAGTCAAAGCACTAAGTATGACTGTTATTCCATGCCATAGTTTTGAAGTGGCAATTAGTATGACATCATAGTTTTGTTGTGGACGTCATTTTGCCACATCACATCTACAGTGGCAATAAATATGACTTTGTTTTGACTGTCTTATTTTGTTGTGGCAATTGACATGATTGTTTTTCTACGTAACTAGAATAGCTCTCTGCCATATTTCATCACATTAAGAAGAAATTAAACAGTCCTATATTTCTTAAATAAATGTACATGTTTTGCCTTATGATAGTAGAAGTGTATCTTATTTTGAGAGAAACACTTTCTATACATATGTTTTACTCCCTGTATATGCATCAGGGTTGTCTAAGTATTCAGTGATAATTGGTCTTCATTAAAGGCAATCATACCAAGTCTTATATGGTATAAAATAAGTGAGGAAAAAATCTATAATTTACAGAATAGCTTTACTCAATCCTCTACAGGAAATCTGGTTCAAAGAAAACTGACAAATTACATTTAGTAATGAAGTCACAGATGCTGTACTGAAAACAGATTGAAATCAGGAAGGGGATTAATACTTCAGAGCGTACCTGATTGACCATATAAATGTTATTAAGTTCACAAAGACAAGCATCATTTATTGTTCGGTTGTATACAAATTATACTCATGTTATTAGTTCACAAAGACAAGCATCATTTATTGTTGGGTCTGATACAAATTGTACTCATGTTATTTATATGCATCTGTAAACACTAAACCAGATAATCTTTTAAAATCATTGACATGTTTTTATTTTATTTCTGACAACATCTAGAGTACAATTGACACAGCTTAACTATGGCTGACTTTGTATCGATTATTCTGTTAGAAGTCTTTCTTGCCACGAAAGTATATTCCATTTTACAGTGATTAAATTGTCTGATAAACATTCAAATTGCCAATGATTGACTTGCAGGTGGTGTACAGGGCTAATCTTAAGTCATTTCTCTAACAAAGCCTTCTGTCTATCTGTAAGTTTAATAAACATACAAATCTATCTTCAAACTGTATACAGGAACACTGTGCAGATGTAAACAAAAGAGAGAAGATTTTGTTTCTAATGGAATTACTTAACATATTTATATTTTAATGGCAGCAAGTAGCAACCTTTTTACACTTTTAAGCAAAATACAGCAAGGAGATACCTTAAACATATGTTCTTGTAATCAGTGAAATGTATTTTTATATCAGTAGAGCTGGCACCCCAACACATATTCCCCAAAATGCACATTTATTGAGAGAAACATGTCCAAAAATAAAGAAATGGTATTTTTCTAGAGATTTCATGTTGTGTTTTGTGTACTGTTGTTTGTCTGTTAGTCTGGCGTTGTCAGTTTATTTTCGACTTATAAGTTTGAATGTCCCTTTGGTATCTTTTGCCTCTCTTTTTCCTCTATTGGTATAAGTTTTGCCTAATTTAACTGGAAACCTCAATTAATTACCAAGAAACCACAAATAATGCCTTATATGAAACTCAGTTGACCATCTGGAAAACAATTTTTCTGGTTATCTTTTGTAGTTAAACATATTTAGAACTTGACCTACTGTACTCAAATTTAATAGGCTTATTCTCCTTTTCTATATCTTCCATTGGTTTAAGTTATGTTCCAATCAAGTAAAGGAAACTCAAGATTTCATCCAGAAAGCATTTGTTTCAGACTTGCAGATAGATGGATGAACAAATAGACAAAGTCATACACTCCCCAAAAAAATGTGGAGCATAAAATTTGAAAGCTGTTGATAAAATTTCCAAAAAATCATATATAAAGTAAACTAAGTTTCAGTGCTAATTTGAGTAATTTCAGCTTGGATGGCTGAATTAAACAAAATCAATGTTACATGTTTAAATAGAGAGGAGAAATTTATACAAGTCGAATATTTCTTATTTAAGATTAAAATTAACTTACAAGCAGTGCAATCTCATAAATTATAAACTGAATCGGTAATTAATTAATTATAAATCCTGTATGCTTCTGCCAATAGCAAAATTAATTGGTATTCTGAAATTCTCAAGATATGCAAATCTAATTTTGGTTCTAGAAAACTTAGGCAAAAAAAAACCGGACTAGGGAGTAAGACATACATGACGTATACATCATTGTCATTTAATGAAATTTCATTTAAAATGAATGAAGTTTTCAATAGTAGATTATAATCTTTTGATATTCTGGAATCACCTATGAGAAATCTTAAACCAAGCATACAAAGTGTATCCATATGATCAGGATACAAAAATTCATAGAAATTTATGTCATGCATGTGTTCTATTTTTATAGATGAGTACAATGAGCACAAGTATATATACCAATATAAAAGCATGCAAGTAGATGCAAAATAAGATTCAAACATTCCAGTTGCAAAGTGACTGCGTAATTCAAACACAAATAGCAAATCTGTTTTTATAGAACCATTTGTTGACAATACAATTAATAAAAACATCTATCAATGTTATTTTCCATATCAAAGTTTTATGACAGAAAATGCTTATAAAATCAGAACAATTCTGGATCCACTCTTTAAATGTCTTTTCCTTTGGGTGACAATGTAATCAGACAAATACAGAAATGACATTTCTAATTCCTAGTAACAAATGTTATTGAGAACTCCTGCTATTTAATGATTCTGACAATACAAATCACATGAGACATGTCAAACCATCAGTAATGTAATCCGAAACTCTCAAACGTACTTGTATTTCCCAAATTATGTACCAGAAATATGGATCTGAAGTATGATAAAATATTTTATCTATTATCAAAATCGCAAATAGTAGAAATGGACTTAACAACAAAGAACCATATTGAATAATGTACACACCATTTAACTTTCATTACATTGAGTAATGGACACACCATTTAACTTTCATTACATTGAGTAATGGACACACCATTTAACTTTCGTTACATTGAGTAATGAACACACCATTTAACTTTCATTACATTGAGTAATGGACACACCATTTAACTTTCATTACATTTACATTGAGTAATGGACACACCATTTAACTTTCATTACATTGAGTAATGGACACACCATTTAACTTTCGTTACATTGAGTAATGAACACACCATTTAACTTTCATTACATTGAGTAATGGACACACCATTTAACTTTCATTACATTGAGTAATGAACTCACTATTTAACTTTCATTACATTGAGTAATGGACACACTATTTAACTTTCATTACATTGAGTAATGGACACACTATTTAACTTTCATTACATGTAGTAATGTCAGATCTATGTATCAATATCCAAACTGCTGACACTCTTAACCAGAAACTGTCTGCTAACATTACAAAACAGTGATGTGTATAAAACTAAAGCTTTACCCACTAGAATGCACAGGTTGTCATGCTGAACATACTCTCACTAGTAATTTAAAGTATCGGAAAACAGGAAGTAGGTGTCTACACAGATATACGGCCCACACTCATTACAAATTATCATTGTTGAGTTGCTGACCAAATATGAAGTCATTATGTTCAGTAGTATTGGAGAAACATGTGATCATAAAATGCTTCGCTGGGGCGCAGCTTGATACGATTGCAGAGGTCGAACCCTGAACAGTTGGGGCAAGTATGGACACAACATTCAAGCTTGATACAGCACTGAATTTGGATTGTAATTAAATATTTGACACAGCATAGGTTTCTGACACAGAATGAATGTGGTCTAAGAACTTAAAAATTTTTAATTTATCTATTCAAACCATATCATTATTATTTGCTTTTATATATAAATCAGAAATAACCAATTTAAAATGGAAAATTTCAAAGAAAAAAAAAGGAAAAAAAAATCCCTCCCACAAATTTTTTCAACCCCCTTATGATTCATCACCCCCAAACTCAATCCCAGCCTTCCCTTTGTGGTACGGTACCTTGCAGTACATATGATGGACTGTGAAACTAAGATCAGGAGTTTGGGAAATTTTGGTCAGGAGATTAGGACTCAGATCAGGAGGTTTTTAATGGACATAAATTCTGTCGTAAATGTAACCGTGTGCTGTAGAAATTGTCTGTTAAAGTGTGTTTTCTTCAACTTTCCATACGAATGTATTATGTTTATAGTACCCTTGTACTTATAAATTTTCTCTATCTTTTTAAACTTTCAACTTGTTCAATCTAACATTCTTCTTTTTTAGTATGTTCTTTAAATTTTTTAGGTCATATCTTTTTTTTCCATTATTCATTGCAATCAGAATATTTGCTTATCTATCTGCAAGTAGATCTTTTATTTTTATCTTTATGCAAGTAGATTTTTAATGCATGATAAGTAACACATTCAAACTGTAATTATGGGTCATAGTTAATATATAAATTTCAATTTAAGCCTTGAAAGGAAGTATAGAACCCTCAAATAATTTTCAAATTATTATTTTTTTATTTGTCCTAAGACATTGAAAATCATTTAATTACCATCCTTTTATGATTATTTGTTCAATTTATATTTTATTTATATTCTTTTAAAAATTTACATTATTTAAAGGAAAGTAACTTAAAACAGGATAAATCAAGGGAAGTAACCCAACATTCATTTTAAATATACAAAGTTTTATTACACAACTGCAGTTAGCCTGATGTAAAAATCGTTGATTACCAGTATGTTTGACACCCAAGGTGACAAGTGAAGCCATATAATTATGCATGTTAATTGATTTACAGGTAAAATATAACTTCAGGTAATGTCAGTTACACCAGATATGTTGGGCTGAAATTTTTCATTCATGAAATATTTCATACACAGGATTTTTTTGTCTTCAACGGGAGGTCGGGAGGAGACCCCTGAAAACGGGATTATTGTATTCCCGTCAGGAGGTTCACATGTAAGATTACTGTACAATTTCAGAGAGATCCATACACTTGAACAAAAGTTATTGTCTGGAAACTAGAAAAATGCTTGTTTTTTGGCCCCTTTTTGGCCCAAAATTCCTAAACATTTAGGGCAATTACCCCCAAACTCAAACCCAGCTTTCCCTTTGAGATATGGAACCTTGCAGTACAATTTCATAAAGATCCATACACTTACATACAAGTTATTGTCCTGAAACTAGAAAAATGCTTTTGTTTGCCCCTTTATGGCCCCTAATTCCTCAAATTTCTAGGGATTTAACCCCTAAATCAATCCCAGCCTTCCCTTTGTCGTATGGTACCTTGCAGTACAATTTCAGAGAGATCCATACACTTGAACACAAGTTATTGTCTGGAAATTAGAAAAATGCTTATTGTTGGCCCCTTTTTGGCCCCTTATTCCTAAACCTTGTGGGAAATTACCCCCAAAATCAATTCCAGCTTTCCCTTTGTGATATGGAACCTTGTAGTACAATTTCATAAAGATCCACACACTTACACACAAGTTATTGTCATGAAAATAGAAAAATGCTTGTTTTTTGCCCTTTTTGGCCCCTAATTCCTAAAATTTGGAGGGAATTACCCCCAAAATCAATCCCAGCATTCCCTTTGTGATATGGAACCTTGTGGAACAATGTCAGAGAGATCCATACACTTACACACAAGTTATTGTCATGAAACTAGAAAAATGCTTGTTTTATGCCCCTTTTTGGCCCCTAATTCCTAAAATTTGGAGGCAATTACCCCCAAAATCTATCCCAGCATTCCCTTTGTGATATGGAACCTTGTGGTACAATGTCAGAGAGATCCATACACTAACACACAAGTTATGTCTGGAAGTTACAAAAATGCTTATTTTTGGCCCCTTTTTGGCCCCTAATTCCTTAACTGTTGGTACCATAACCCCCAAAATCAATCCCCACCTTCCTTTTGAGGTATTGAACCTTATGGTAAAATTTCATAGAGATCCATTCACTTAAACTAAAGTTAGAGTGCGAAAACCAATGTGTCTTCGGACGACGACGACGACGACGCCAACGTCATACCAATATACGACCACAAAATTTTTTTGCGGTCGTATAAAAATTACTGTTTATTCAGTCCTAAAAATTCAATGTATAGGAAAACAAAAAGTAGATATCTGACAGATCCCAATGGTTAGCACACTTTATATCTTATCCTTGTCAAGCTGCTGACCATATAGGAAGTCAATTTGTTTGAGTAGTTTCAGAGAAAAGTCTGATGAAAATATTTGATGGATGAACAGATCAAAAGACAGACTGACAAGGTGATTGCAATATAGCCTCCAAACCTAGAGTGAGGACTACATGGTCTGCAATATAGCCTCCAAACCTAGAATGAGGACTACATGGTCTGCAAAATGATTTTTTTCTGAGAATTTAGTCTCTTAATAAGCCATGAGTTCAGATAGATAACTAGTATGTGACACTGCCAGTCTCTTTGCTAGAAGTATTTGGTTATTGTCAACACTTGTTAGCAGTAAAATTTGTACTAAAATACCATTGTCATTGATTTCTACCATCTGTGCTTCAAACTTTTCATTTTTCAAATATATGGTTAAACAAGTATACTGTACAAACTTGTTTTTTCTTCTAAAATTTGCAAAATAATTTTTTTTTTTTTAGTAAAACAACTTGTCATCTATTATTTGTTCCTACGACTGTTGCTTAAACTTGACTGCATAATCTACCAGTTTCAGAATCCTTTCAGCATTGAAATCTAACACATTTGTAAACAAACCTCACCTATTTACCTGTATTTTGATTAAGAATTGAATACTATCAGCTATTCTAAGAATTGTTATGCTGGTATTGAGTCACATCTATACTTTAGGAAATCATTTACCAGCTTAACTAACAGTAATTATATTTTGATACAAAAACCTTATGCATCAACAGTTCAAAAAAGGCCTTTCCTTGTAAACTAGTTAGGGATTCCTGAAAAATCTTCCAATCAGATATAACACAGAATGATCGTGTTTTAGTGATACAAGACAATTCATAAATCGGTCTGTCATTATCTGTTGATACTAATTGAAGTATGGATAATATGCTATGACTTTATTATACTTTAGTCCTACTCGGGGGAATAATCAATTGATTTTACCTTAATTTCTTTTAATAAAACTTCTGGTCTCCTTGCACTCTTTAAAATCTTCTCATATTTGTACATATGACGCTGGAAAGAAAGAAAACAGATTGTTACATAACAAATTTTGATAGTTAATTATGTCCGTTTAGGTATAACAACAGTTACTGTACATTCAGAAATTATAATGACGTTTTTATTAATGCAAAAAATGGGACAGTATCAGGTTTGCAATTATAATAAAATGCTTCTCTGAGTGCAGCCTGATACGACCGCAGAGGTCGAACCCTGAACAGTTGGGGCAAGTTTGGACACAATATTCAAGCTTGATACTGTCTGAACTTGAATTGTGATCAAATTTTTGACATAATATAGGTTTCTGACATAAAATAAATGTGGTCTAAGATCTTAAAAATTTGAAGTGATCCATTTAATTTACCTAGAACGGTCTGATATCCAAAATCTAACAACATGGTTAGATTTAGCATATAAAAAAAACACCAAAAATCTAATTTTAGTTGAAATCATACAGTTTAATTTTGAACCCTTCAAACCAGAATATGGACTAATTTGACAACAGGGCCCAAAATAAATAAAATGCTTCGCTGGGCGCAGCTTGATACGCCTGCAGAGGTCGAACACTGAACAGTTGGGGCAAGTATGGACACAACATTCAAGCTTGATACAGCACTGAATTTGGATTGTGATTAAATATTTGACACAGCATAGGTTTCTGACACAAAATGAATGTGGTCTAAGAACTTAAAAAATTTTAATAATTCACCTATTCAAACCATATCATTATTATTTGCTTTTATATATAAATCTGAAATAACCAATTTAAAATGGAATATTTTCTCGTATAAAAAAGGAAAAAAAAATCCCCCCCCCAAATTTTTGAACCCCCTTATGATTCATCACCCCCAAACTCAATCCCAGCCTTCCCTTTGTGGTATGGTACCTTGCAGTACAATTTCAGAGAGATCCATACACTTGAACACAAGTTATTGTCTGGAAACTAGAAAAATGCTTGTTTTTTTGGCCCCTTTTTGGCCCCTTTTTGGCCCCAAATTCATAAACATTTAGGGCAATTATCCCCAAACTCAAACCCAGCTTTCCCTTTGTGATATGGAACCTTGTAGTACAATTTCACAACAATCCATACACTTACACACACGTTATTGTCCTGAAACTAAAAAAATACTTGTTTTTTGCCACTTTTTTGCCCCTAATTCCTAAAATTATGAGGCAATTAACCCCAAAATCAATCCCAGCCTTCCCTTTGTGGTATGGTACCTTGCAGTACAATTTCAGAGAGATCCATACACTTGAACACAAGTTATTGTCTGGAAACTAGAAACATGCTTAATTTTGACCCCTTTGTGGCCCCTTATTCCTTAACGTTTTGGGCAATTACCCCAAAACTCAAACCCAGCTTTCCTTTTGTGATATGGAACCTTGTAGTACAATTTCAGAAAGATCCATACACTTACACACAAGTTATTGTCATGAAACTAGAAAAATGCTTGTTTTTGCCCCTTTTTTTGGCCCCCAATTCCTAAAATTTTGAGGCAAATACCCCCAAAATCAATCCCAGCATTCCCTTTGTGATATGGAACCTTGTGGTACAATGTGTATCCATACAATAACACACAAGTTATGTCTGGAAGTTACAAAAATTCTTATTTTTGGCCCCTTTTTCCTTAACTGTTAGTACCATAACCCCCAAAATCAATCCCTACCTTCCTTTTGTGGTATTGAACCTTATGGTAAAATTTCATAGAGATCCATTCCTTAAACTAAAGTTAGAGTGTGAAAACCAATGTGTCTTCGGATTACGACAACGACGACGACTCCAACATCATACCAATATATAACCGCAAAATTTTTTTGCGGTCGTATAAAAAAAATCTAAATGCACAATAAGATTCAGCATATCATACAGCCGCAATAATTCAGTTTTTGATGAAATCAAACAAAGTTTAATTTTGGACCCTTTTGACCTCAATGTAGATCAATTTAAAAATGGGGCCCAATATCCAAATAAACTGCTTCGCCTGGCACAGCTGGATACGACCGCAGAGGTCCAAACTTGAACAGTTGGGGCAAAAATGGACACAATATTCAAGCTTGATACAGGTCTGAATTTGGATTGTAATTAAATATTTGACACATTATAGGTTTCTGACACAGAATAAATGTAGTCAAAGAACTTGAAATTGGTTGTATGATTTGAATTTATATTCAATTGAAGATTTCTTGCTTTTGTGCAATACACTGTGCTGTTGTGCAATACTTAGTAAATCTGTTTTCAGACTATATACAAATAATTAGCAAAATAAATTGTGACCCCCAATTTTTCTTTGGAAAATTGACAATCCCCACCCCTATTGGAAAAAAATAACATTTGAAGAAATTTTCTATTTGTAAAATGTGGTACAATATAAGAAAAATCAATACACTTAAACAAAAGTTATTGCCTGAAAATTAAAAAAATTCTTTCTTTTAGACCTTTTTTGGCCCCTAATTCCTGAACGGTTTAAGCAACTACCCCCAAATTGAATCCAAACCTTCTACTTGTGGTATTGAACTTTGTGGTACAATTTCAGAGCAATCACAATACTTATACACAAGTTATTGTCCTGAAACTAGAAAAAATGCTTCTTTTGGGACCCTTTTGGGCCCCTAATTCCTAAACCATCACCCCCAAAAACAATCCCAACCTTCCTTTAGTGGTATTGAACCTTTTGCTTAAATTTCATAGAGATCCATACACATAAACTAAAGTTATTGTTCGGAAACCAAATGTCTTCGGATGACGATGACGCAGACGACAACGACGACAACAACGTGATAGCATTATATAACCCCAAAATGTTTTTGCGGTCCTATAAAAAGTAATACAAGGTTAGAACCCCATATCAAAGACTTTAAATTAATCCCATTGAAATTGGTTAAAAGATTTGTATTTATTTTCAATTGAAGATTTCTTGCTTTTACGCAATACTGTGCAATTGAAGATTTCTTGCTATTGTGCAATACTGTGCAATTGAAGATTTCTTGCTATTGCCAAATACTGAGCTATTGCGCAAAACTGTGCAATTGATGATTTCTTGCTATTGCGCAATACTGTGCACCTGAAGATTTCTTGCTATTGCGCAATACTATGCTATTGGGCAATACTGTGTTGTTGGGCAATACTGTACAATTGAAGATTTCTAGTTTTTGCGCAATACTGTGCAATTGAAGATTTCATCAAAAATTTTGAAGAAAAAAAATATGAACCCCCCAAAAAAATTGGAAAAAAAATCCCCCCCAAAATTTTTGACCTACCTTGGAGTAATTACCCCCAAACTTAATCCCAACCTTCTCTTTGTGGTATGAAACCTTGTAGTACAATTTTAGAGAGATCCATACACTTAAACACAAGTAATTGTCTGGAAACTAGAAAATGCTTCTTTTTGGCCTCTTTTTTGCCCCTAATTCCTGAACGTTTGGGGCAATTACCTTCAAACTCAATCACAGCCTTCACTTTGTGATATGGAACCTTGTGGTACAACTTCAGAGAGATCCATACACTTACACTTACACACAAGTAATTGTCCGGAAACTACAAAAATGCTTGTTTTTGGCCCCTAATTCCTAAACTGTTGGTACCATAACCCCCAAAATCAATCCCAACCTTCCTTTTGAGATATTAAACCTTTTGGTAAAATGTTATAGAGAATTTTTTGCGGTCGTATAAAAAGTTGCATTCATAATTTCAGTAGCAATGTTCCTTCATCAAATTTTTGAAATCGCAATAATTTGACTTTGCATTTTACCAATGGTCACATATTCACAATAATAAATGCATGCATACATTTCTGAATTCACAGCATTGTATAATAGTCATAAAAAATATTCATAAAACTATCATAATCTTCTGTTTTGTATACAATTTACAACCAAAAAAAATCATCTGTGTTTAATGATTTTCTTACAAGTGGTTACTTATATGTTAATTTTATCAGTAGATTTTTTTTATATAAAAGTTGCTCAGATAGAAATCTGTTAGGTTTATAAAGTAAAGTCAACCAAAGCCAGCTGTATTATCATATACCTGTGCAACATTGGTTTCAATACATACAAGCTGTTTAAATAGCTCAAGATAAAATTCAATTCAAATAAACTATTTACTTATTACCAACTTTTAACTCCAGAGTATATAATTTTCCAGCAGGTAACCTACTCTGTGATAGAACATTCTGGTACTTGGTCAAATAAGAGCAATTAAAATAAAATGCTCTGAATTTGGATTGTGATTAAATATTTGACATAGCATAGGTTTCTTACACAGAATGAATGATAGAATTTAAAAATTTGAAATTGGACATTTACCTGTTATGGTCCAATATCCAAAATCTAAATACATGGTTAGATTCAGCATATCAAAGAATTCAATTTTTGATGAAATCAAACAAATTTTAAATTTGGACATCAATTTGGACCAACTTGAAACCTGGGCCTAAAATCAAAAATCTAAATACATGTTTACATTCAGAATATCAAAGGACCCTTTTTCTGTTATGGAACCTTGTGGTACAATTTCATAGAGATCCATAGACTTATACTCAAGATATTGTCCAGAAACCATAAAATCCTATTTTTTTTTTTTACTCCTTTTTGGCTATTAATTCCTAAACCATATGGGCCATAACCCCCAAAATCAATCCCAACCTTCCTTTTGAGGTAGGGGGCCTCGGTGGCTGAGTGGTCTAAGTAGTTACTACTGTAATCACTAGCCAGTCAACACTGAGGTTGTGAGTTCAAACACCGCTCGTGCAGGTGCACTTGACTCCAAACTTAATTGACTAGGATTGTCAGTTTTCCTATCGAAGGTCATGGTTTTCTCCGGGCACTCCGGCTTCCTCCACCAATAAAAACTGGCCGCCACGAAATAGCCAAAAAGCGGTGCTTAAAAGTGGTGTTAAAACACCAAAAATCAAGAATCAAATCCTTTTGAGGTATGGAACCTTGTGGTACAATTTCATAAATATCCATACACTTATCAACAAGTTATTGTCTGGACACAAGAAAATGCTTGTTTTTTGCCCCTTTACGGCCCATAATTCCTAAACAATAAGGACCATAACCCTCAAAATCAATCCCAACCTTCATTTTGTGGTATGGAACCTAGTTGTACAATTTCATACAGATCCATACACTTATACTCAAGTTATCATCTGGAAACAAAATGTCTTCGGACGATGACAACGATGACGACAGCAACGTCATAACATTATACAACTGCAAAAATTTGCGGTGGTATAAAAAGTAAAATCAAGCTTACAATCAGTACAATTTGGGGAAAAAATAACTGTTTCTGAAAAATTTGTTGTGTATAGAAAACATAAAACAGATAGTTTTCCATAAAATTTGCACTGATTGTAAGCTTGTTCTTACTTGACAGAGTAGCAAAATGTCCTTCCACAGAGTAGGTAACCTGTCGAAAAGCTATATACTCCATAGTTAAAAGTTGGTTGTATGAAAATAGTAAATTGATCAGTTGCAAAAAAATTGGTAAACATTGATATGATTTATGGTGTACTTTTGTGCAAAGCTTTAAAATAAGGAATGTGATTTATTGTGTTGTATCAATTGAAGTGTTTCTTATGTAACTAACATGTGTTGCCTCACTAAAATGCACTTGTAATTTATTTCTTACAGAAAACTGCTATTGTTTATATAGTGTACCAATCTGTCTATATAAAACTGTGCTTGAATTTATCAAAAATCTCTGCTTACAACAATAAATTAGATAGCAGTAAGAGTTTTATGTATTATGTATCACCATAACGGTGTATTAGTGGATAAGAATGGCAGAGTACGCAAGACAAAGGGAATCAAACAAAAAGAACTTAACTTTAGTATTCAAAAATATGTGAAAATTGTACAGAATTTTGAAAAAATTGCTCTTAAGTTTTTTGTTGCAATTAAACAGCCAATATATATGCAACATCTTCCTTAAGGAAGTACCCAACACTTTGACTTAAATAGATTTGGCTCATTTAATTTTCATAAAATGTTGACAAAATATTTACTATGACCTGTTGACAAAAATATAAAAATTTCATAAAATTTGAACCATACAATTTACAGGAATAATTTCATTGGATAAATGGCAGTTTGACAATTGCTAATTTTGATCACTGAGAAGCTTGATTTCTCTTGATAAATAGTATGTGAACAAAGCGTTCAGCTTATTTTTAAAGAGTTAATTGCCTTAGGTTTTCTGTACCCCCTTAATTCAAAACTAACTTACCTTCCACAGTATAGAGTGTAACCACTGATCTCTTAAGTAGGAATTGTGTGCCTGAAAATAAAAATACACATAACTGTTTACAGGTGAATTTCTGACTCTGAATATAACATTGACAATTTCTGAAATACTGAACACAAACTGAGTACAACTTGACAATTTCTGACATATTGAACACAGACTCTAAATATAAAACATTGCAATGTCTGACATACTGTACACAGACTCTGAATATAACATTGGCAATTTCTGACATACTGAAAACATACTCTGAATATAACATTGGCAGTTTCTGACATACTGAACACAGACTCTGATAAAAACATTGGTAAATTCTGATATTCTGAACACACTCTGAAATAAATTGGCAATTTCTGATATACTAAACACAGACTCTGAATATAACATTGGCAGTTTCTGACATACTGAACACAGACTCTGATAAAAACATTGGTAAATTCTGATATTCTGAACACACTCTGAAATAAATTGGCAATTTCTGATATACTGAACACAGACTCTGAATATAACATTGGCAATTTCTGACATACTGAACACACTCTGAATATAACATTGGCAATTTCTGACATACTGAACTCAGACTCTGAATATAACATTGGCAATTTCTGACAAACTGAACACAGACTCTGAATTGGAAATTTCTGACATACTGAACTCAGACTCTGATTACAACATTGGCCATTTCTGACATACTGAACACAGAGTCTGAATATAACATTGGCAATTTCGGATATACTGAACAGACTCTGAAATAACATTGGCAATTTCTAACAGACTGAACACAGATTATGAATATAACATTGGCAATTTCTGATATACTGAACACAGACTCTGAAATAACATTGGCAATTTCTAACAGACTGAACACAGACTATGAATATAACATTGGCAATTTCTGATATACTGAACACAGACTCTGAAATAACATTGGTAATTTCTGACATACTGAACACAAGACTCTGAAATAACATTGGCCATTTCTGACATACTGATAACAGACTCTGAATATAACATTGAAAACTTTTCACATACTGAACACAGACTCTGAATATAACATTGGCAATTAATGACAAACTGAACACAATCTCTCAATATAACATTGGCAATTTCTGATATTCTGAACACAGACTCTGAAATAACATTGGCAATTTCTGACAGACTAAACAGACTGAATATAACATTGGCAATTTCTGACATACTGAACACAGACTGAATATAACATTGGTAGCTTCTTATATTCTGAACACAGACTTTGAAATAACATTGGCAGTTTCTGATATAATGAACACAGACTGAATGTAACATTGGTAGTTTCTTATATTATGAACACAGACTTTGAAATAACATTGGCATTTTCTGATATACTGATTACAGACTCTGAATATAACATTGAGAACTTTTGACATACTGAACAGATTCTGAATATAACATTGGTAATTTCTGACATATTTGACAGACTCTGATTATAACATTGGCAATTTCTGACTTAGTGAACACAGACTGAATATAACATTGGTAATTTCTGACATACTGAACACAGATTCTGAATATAACATTGCCAATTTCTGACATACTTAACACAGACTTTGATTATAACATTGGCAATTTCTGACCTACTGAAGAAAGACTCTGAATATAACATTGTCAACTAAGACACTGGCATTTGTCTCTGAAAAAATACCTCTATACCTTTATGTAACATGAATTATATAAAGGTATAGAGGTAAATTTGTTTATGAACAAGTGCCTGTGAACTAAGGGTTTAATAAAAAAAAATATCTAGACAACAATAGAAAGATGTCTATGTAGATCTCAATCACCCTGAGTCTACAAAAAGTTGTGGATCAATTCAACAGAGACTGTCAAAGATCTGCTCTCAGTCCGTATTTGGCTTCTCAAAGTTATGATCTCAAGAGTTCCTATTAATGAAAGTTAATTCCGAAACAATTGTGATAAAAACTGAAATAAATATCAAACATTTATGGGATTGTCATTGCTGTTATTCATATAAGTCTAGGATCACAAATTAATGGCATTTAGTGGGCATCAAACATTTTCTACTGTGTTCAAAGGATGAATTTACACTGACCTAAAGATCAGCTCTTTCAATATTATTCTTTCATATATTTTCTCAATAGAAATTACACAGACAGCAAATCAAACCTGTCTAATAAATCTACAGAAAAATGTATTACCTGTTGATAACAACTCTGCTATAAAATTGTCTGTATAAGGATGAGATTGGGTTTTATCTCCATGGGTATTGGTAAACACCGGAAATTCAAACAAAAGAATAATGAGCTTTGACTTTGAAGTAAAAATACACTCCAGGGTAATATTAGAAAAGATATATATAATATTTCCAAGAGAGGAACAGTTAAATGAGCATCCAATTGTGTTACATTGTAATATTATTGAACAATTATGACTTTCTGGTAAATTGGAATATTTCAAAGGAAGATGATGATTGACATAAAGGTCTACATAGTCACAGCAATAAATAATGAAAATTAACATTTATATCAATACTAGTCTCAAATGATGAAACTGTCAATCAGTATTTGTTTTATGTAATGAAAGTGCAAGTATAAGATATATAGCCATGAGGGTGTCAGCCTGATGGGGAATATCTAATACACTATGATGGTATGATTAATGCAAAATGAAAGCTTTCAATCATTTAGAATTAAGGTCTTTCAAAAATTTCGCCTTATTTCAGGATTAAACATGACAATGAGCCATATCCAATAACATGTAGTGACATTGAGTTGCAAATACTTAAAAAGACATGTTTGTGTTTTAAAAAAAATGTGGATAGTTTCCACATGTGGACACAGATGATGCCCCCGCTTGCATATCATATTGTTATAAAGGGACATAACTGAAGAACGGTAAAAGTGACGCTACCCAAATTTGATCTTGATCTGAGTTTTGTGGTAATAAGCATTGTGTGTAAGTTTCATAACATTTGGTTGAGGCTAACTTAAGTAGAGAACAGAAGCTAATAAATTGCTTCCCCGAGCGCAGCTGGATTCGACCGCAGAGGTCCAACCCTGAACAGTTGGGGCAAAGATGGACGCAATATTTGGGCTTGATACAGATCTGAATTTGGATTGTAATTAGATATTTGACACATAAAAGGTTTCTGACACAGAATAACTGTAGTCAAAGAACTTAGAATTGGTTATATGATTTGAATTTATATTCAATTTTTTGCTTTTGTGCAATACACTTTGCTGTTGCGAATTGACCCCCTCCCCCACAAAAAAAATTAAAAAAAATTTACCCCACTTTTTTTTTTGGCTTTTGTGCAATACACTATGCTGTTGCGTATTATTTTTACTGGTCTTCCTTTATAAATATGCATTTCATTAAACATAATTTAAAAGCAGTGTAAGGGAGGTAATTAAAATGTTGTATTTGGATTACCTCCCTTACACTTCTTTTAAATTGTCTTAATTGTTCATTAACCATTACTTTATACATAATTTAAAAGCAAGTGCTTAAAATCATGTTTTGTACTATAGTATTTGTCCATTAACCAGGACACCTTTGTTTTTCCCCCTTTTTTGCCCCTAATTCCTAAACGGTTTGAGCCATAACCCACCAAAGCAAATCCTAACCATCCCTTTGTGGTATGGAAACTTGTGGTATAATTTCAGAGAGATCCATACACTGTTCCACAAGTTATTGTCTGGAAACTAGAAAAATGCTTATTTTTGGCCCCTTTTTGGCCCCTAATTCCTTAACTGTTGGTACCATAACCCCCAAAATCAATCCCAACCTTCCTTTTGTGGTATCAAACCTTACGGCAAAATTTCATAGAGATCCTTTCACTTAAATTAAAGTAATTGTGCGAAAACCAATGTGTCACCGGACGACGACAAAGACGCCAACGTCATACCAATATACGACGGTCAAAATTTTATGCAGTCGTATAAAAATTCAGCAATTTTTCTATTTGTAAACAGGCATAACTCTAGAACGGTTGTGTATAAGTTTTATAACATTTGGTTGAGACAAACTAAAGTTAGAGAACAGAAACGAAAAATTCAGCAATTTTTATGTTTATAAACGGACATAACTCTAGAACGGTTAAATTGACGCCACCAAAATTAAAACTTGATCTGTGTTTTGTGGTAATTAGCATTGTGTATAAGTTTCATAACATTTAATTGAGGCAAACTTAAGTTAGAGAACGGAAACTAAAAATTTTACAATTTTTCCATTTATAAAGGGGCACAACTCTAGAACGGTTAAAGTGACACCACCAAAATTCAAACATGATCTGTGTTTTGTGGTAATAAGCATTGTGTATAAGTTTCATAACATTTGGTTGAAGCAAACTTAAGTTAGAGAACGGAAACTAAAAATTTTGCAATTTTTCCATTTATAAAAGGGGCATAACTCTAGAGCGGTTAAAGTGACGCCACCAAAATTCAAACTTGATGTGTGTTTTGTGGTAATAAGCAACAAACTCAAGTTAGAGAACGGAAACCAATTTTGGGACGTACAGATGGACGTACGTACAGATGGACAAGGGTCTGGAACAGCATACCTATGGCTCGCTTTTTGACTCCGTCAAGGCGAGACAAAAACTACACCCTGGGTGAAACATAAAAGTAAAAATTTTCATTCTATTTCTGTGTTATGCTAATTTATCTGATTGCAATCGAACATTTTTGAATATTTTTTTTTTAATTTAATATTCTATAGCTCTTAATTATTTCAAAAACTCAAAAATGTTAATTTTACTCTAAACTGATATCAAATTTCTACAGAATAATGATTTTTGTCTCCATTTTTGTTTACATTTTCCAAGAATATAAAAACACTTATCAGAAATTGATTTTTAAGATATAGTGTCATAAACAAAACACTTAAATATCACAATTAAAATTATGTTTTACGGCAATAGAAGGCCATTCAAATGATTGTGTAACATATTCAATAATTATACTTATCGATTCAATTTGCATTATGTATTCCAATTTTATGGTGGAAACTGATTTTTTTAATCAAATCAGTACTAGCAATAATATTTTTTTACTGACAATACTCCTCAAAAGGCCAATGTCAACAAGAGGGTACCACGACAAAGCTAACTTATCTTGGGTTTTTTTTTTTAACCTTCATCAGGAATACTGAACGCTGAGGAAGCAAAAAAGAAACTTGTCATGCCCATTTCTATGCACATGACATGTTTCCTGAAAGAACCCAGTTCTGTGTGCATGTCGACACAATTCCTGAAATAGCCATCATCATAAGCACTTTGGACAGGGAGTTTTAAAAGCAATAAATATAACAGGTTAAAAAATATGAAAGCCTTCAGTGACTAGCCAAAACCAACTATGATAAGCTTTCCAGAGGGAATAGCAACTTCAGTTTTTGAAAAATTCACAAAAAATTAATCAACTGAGAAAACAATCATGACCTAATACTATAGAGCACTGACTTTTAGTCCATAAGAAGTGGTATCGACCGTCTTGTAGTACCAAACTTGTTGTGTTCTATTAACAGATTATTTGTGGTATATATAGTAATGGGTCAATATGGCGACATATAATTGCTCATATCCACATCATTTGAACTCCGATAGATAGTTGTCGCATTGGCAATAATTCCACATCTCCTTATTTTTCATCAATAGCATTTCCTCACTGGATAATTTTTCTATATATTTCATATTAAATCATATTTGTAGTAACCCTTTTAATCATGAGTTTTAATCATGTACTGTACAGCAAATACATTATTCCTTATTTAACACTTAATAATCTTCTTTATAAAAAATTGAAATAAGAAATATTTTTGATTTGCATTGAGAACATAATAATCCACATCACATACTCATTATTTTTTAGGTATTGGTTAGATATGAAACCTGAAAAGTAAATATGGTTCTTGCTTGTGCTATATTATATTTGTGTAATTTATTTATTGATTGATTGATTGATTGGTGTTAAATGCTAATTTCAACACTATTGGCTTTTTCATGGTGGTCAGTTTTTTTGGTGGAGTTCAAACTGGAGTGCTTGGAGAAAACCACCGACAAAACTGACAATGCAAGTCAATTAAGATTGGTGTCGAAAGCAACTGTCATATGTGGGATTCGAACTCCCAACCTCAGTGTTGACAGGCTAGTGATAAGTAGTTGGACTATTTAGACCACTTGGCCAATGAAGCCCAGTATTTTGTAGGAATAAAAGAAGAATGTGTCTGAGGACACGAATGCCCCCGCTCAAGCTTTGCAATTTTTCAAGCTGCGTGTTGTGGTTTTTAGCATTGTGTGTGAGTTTCCTCAAATTTGGATGAGACAAGCTTGTGTAAGAGTGTGGAAACTTAAAAATTTGCAATTTTCCAAGTTATAAAGGAGCATAACTCTTGAACCGTTAATGACATACTGCCAAAATTTAAACACTGTCTGTGTGTTGTGATTCTTAGCATTGTGCGAGAGTTATACAAAATTTGGATGAGGCAAACTTAAGTTATAGTGTGGAACAAAAAAAATTGCAAAATTATCCAAGATATAAAGGGGCATAACTCTAGAAAAAAAAGTGACTCACTGCGCAAATTAGAAGTCTGTCTGCAAGGTTTGGTTCTTATAATTGTGTATGAGTTTCTTAAAATTTGGATGAGGACAACTTAAGTTACAGTGCAGAAACAAAAATGGGACAGATGAAAGGTCGGTTAAGGGTAACACTTAATAATGCCTCTGTTGACTACTGCGGGGCATAAAAAATATCCAAGCTTATTCAAGTTTTTTTCATTCAGTTAGTGTATTAGAAATCTGCACACTGGATGCACATCTGGGGTAATAAATTGTAAGCATGGTATCTTTGAAACTAGATATGGACAATGCCCCCCCCCCCCTTTCTGCTCTGCCATATGCATGAGTATAGTTCTACATATTTTAGATTTGACAAACAGTGATGTTGGCATACAACTTGAAATTGTTACGCTGTCTGTAAGTCACAAATGATGCCCCCTTCTGACAAAAAAAAAGTCCAACTACCTGTCATTTTCAGAATATTTGAAAAAAAAAAAAAATATCCTGTGGCCATGCACACCTCCATTATGTGTATGAACATCCTACAAAATATTAAAGCTGTATCTCCAAAACTGTAGGAGGAGAAAGCCGGACGAACCATGAACTCTTTATGCAGCTAGTACCAAAAAAAAGACTTAATCCAACTACCTGTCATTTTCAGAATATTTGAAAAAAAAATCAAAATCCTGTGGCCATGCACATCTTCATTATGTGTATGAACAACCTACAAAATATTAAAGTTGTACCTCCAAAACTATAGGAGGATATTGCCGGACAAACAATGTATCTTAATCCAGAGGGAAAGACGGACGGACAGATGTAACTTAATAAGCCCTTCGACATTTTGTTGCATGGGCATAAAAAATATTTAAACTATTTGTCCTTGACATACTTTATCTGTTGACAAAAAAAATAGATGTGGATAGTGGACCCAGATGATGCCCCCGCTTGCATATCATATAGTTATAAAGGGACATAACTGAAGAACGGTAAAAGTGACCCCACCCAAATTTGAACTTGATCTGAGTTTTGTGGTAATAAGCATTGTGTGTAAGTCTCATAACATTTGGTTGAGGCTAACTTAAGCAGAGAACAGCAACTAAAAATTTGGCAATTTTTCTATTTGTAAACCCTCATAAATCTAGAACGGTTGTGTATAAGTTTTATAACATTTGATTGAGACAAACTTAAGTTAGAGAAAGGAAACGAAAAATTCGGCAATTTTTATGTTTATAAAGGGAAATAACTCAAGAATGGTAAAAGTGTCGCCACCAAATTTCGTACTTAATCTGTATTATGTAGTAATAAGCATTGTGTATAAGTTTCATAACATTTAGTTGAGGCAAACTAAAGTTAGAAAACGGAAACAAAAAATTTGTACTTGATCTTAGTTTTGTGGTAATGAATATTGTGTATAGGTTTCATAATGCTTGGTTTGGGCAAACTTAAGTTACAGAATGGAAACTAAAAATTTTGCAATCTTTCTATTTATAAAGGGGCATAACTCATTAATGGTTAAAGTGACACTACCCAAATTCAACTTGATCTGTGTTTTATCAGTGGAAGTCAAAATTAAACATTGCATTGTATAAAGAATTCATTGTTGTTGATTCAACTATTATCATGGACAAAGGAAGATAACTCCAATTTTAAAAATTACTTGATATTCAGAAGAAAATAAAAATTTTGCAATTTTTCCATTTATAAAGGGGCATAACTCTAGAATGGTTACAGTGACGCCACCAAAATTCATAGCTGATCTGTGTCTTGTGGTAATAAGCATTGTGTATAAGTTTCATAACATTTGGTTGAGGCAAACTAAAGTTAGAGAACGGAAACTAAATTTTTTGCAATTTTTCCATTTATAAAGGGGCATAACTCTAGAACAGTTACAGTGACGCCACCAAAATTCAAACTTGATCTGTGTTTTGTGGTAATAATCATTATGTATCAGTTTCATAACATTTGGTTGAGGCAAACTTAAGTTAGAGAATGGAAACTAAAAATTTTGCAATTTTTCCATTTATGAAGGGGCATAACTCTAGATAGAGAACGGAAACCAATTTTGGGAGGTACGGACGGACAAGGGTAAAACTTAATGCCCCCACCACTATGGCGGGGGCATAAAAAGTGCCGCACTCTTCTTACTAAACTATGAACAATAGTTTGCTGTTATCCCAAAGATGTCTATAATATCCACATTTTGGTCGGTATCAACTTTTATACTTGTTCTT